AATAGATTGCCTAGCATCAGTGCTAGTAATACTAGTGGAGTGAAACGTAAAAGGCAGAAGTCAGTTAAAAGGGGATGAGTGCGGCTGGTCAGTGTAAGTGTACAGTAGTGCACTTAGGTAGTATAAGTTGTTATTCACGGTTTTGCTTATTCGCGCCATTCCTTGGGACCTAGCCCCCGTGAATAGCAAGGGTTTACTGTACTGCACTGTACTTTGTAATGATTATGTAGTAATAACTCTTAGGCCATGATTTTATGATATCCAGTCTGTAGCCAGTAATCATTTGTTTAGTCAAGGTACTGTAATTTACAATACTGTAGGTCAGGTTAGGTGTAGAATGTGCAGATCTGTTTGCAACTTCTGTGAGCAATATCATCACTTTTTCTACCATTTCTTAGAACTTTATCAATATTTTTGAAGGGTTGTTTACACTTAAAACAGCATGTATGGTTTAATACACACATTGTGATTGGCCTTATTTGTAGTAGACTGTGAGGTGAGCAGTTGCAGGTTAAACAAACCCTAGTCTTCATAAGGTCAACACAGCCTAACTGAAACTGACCAGGAGGACTGGGATCCAATATGATTCATAAACCAATAAGACTGGGGCCTTTTGGGGCCTATAGAACTAGCCTTCAGTTCTAATGGTTTAGTTGGGGCATATTAAATAGGGACCATCTGACAAGACACTTACAGGGTTGTGCTCCAAAGTGAGTTCTGTTGATTACACTGTTATAATATGAAAACAAGGTAATGATACATTTCTTGCTGGCACATTGTATTGGAAACATACGAAAATGTGTAGAATATTAAAGGTGAATATATGATTCTCAATGCAACCATTACCTATACTGTATGTTTTGGCCTTGATTTTTTTATTACATTATCAAAAATGAAAATTAGTTACTACCCTGTACTGTGATTTTTTTTATCATTTCCTGCTAGAATATTTAAAGCATACAAAAATGTGTAGAATATTAAGGAGGATTTTAAGATTATCAATACAGTTGAGTATCACATTCAAATTGTCTCGTCATTTATAAAGGAAAAAGTGTTAATATAATTTATACTATGTGGCCTTTTTGGTGGGTGACAATAATATTTCATTGTAATTAAAAGGTAGAGTAAGGACTAGTGTCAGGTTTTGTGATTCTAATCAACAAAGGAATTCTCCCCCCCACCCCCACAATTTATTTTATACATTCAATATACAGTAAATAAAAGATATGGCATAAAGTTTTCCTCAGATTCTTTTTTCTTCATGTACATATACAATAATTGCAAAAGTCTGACATGAAATTTTTTGTGGTCAGTACTCCCATATGGATGCATGTTGCTTACTCATAATCTACAAAGGAATACCTTTACTGTTTTCCTTCTCTTGGTGTTATGTAGGGAAGTGTCTGTGGGAAGATTGACGTCCGTATTATTAAACATCTTCCCTTGAAGAGGGTCGTCGTGTTTCAACCCGAGTTTTAAACTAAATGAGTCCTGAGGGACACCGCAGTACAGTACTGAATGAGGTGGTGTGGCAGTAAAATGAACTAATTCCAATATCATAAATTAATTTTATTGGAATTAGTTCATTTTACTGCCACATAGTACTGTGTAGTGTCCCTCAGGACTTTCTTCAAGGGAAGATGTTGTTTAATAATACGGGCATGAGTCTTTCCAAGTGTTTTACTACAAGGATGTGCCAAATGAATGATGAATTAGTGTACTGTGAATGGTGGTTGATGTTTAATAAAGTGAACTTATGGACATTTGAGGTGTTTTGTCTTGATATATCCATTCATTTTGTTTCAAAATTAGGTAGAGTATCTGTGCATGTACAGGTACCAATAAATCTCATATGACAATACAGTACGTATATAAAAGAAGGTAATAGTCTAATGATTTGTAAACATTTATAGTCTAAAACGTCAGAGTTTAGGTTCACATATAAAGATTAATGACCTATTATCGGCCGAGTACAACAGTACAGTGAGTTCTGCTATAACGCGTGTTTTGTCAACGCGAATTTGCTCGAACGCGATTTATGAATTGAGGAACGATATTTGTAAAACGCGAACTCGTTTGCTCTAACGCGATTCCACTCGAACGGTTGTTGTGGCTTCAGTTCACGTTCGACATCACATGTTCAATTGAGTTATGCGTTTTGTTTGTGAAGAATTGCAGAAATAATGTATGTAATATTTATGTATACAGTATACCTATATATTATAAGTAAATTGTAAAATTTTACATAAAAGAGAAAATCAAATTACATAGCGTTTTAGACCCGCACTTTCCTTACATCACACACACAGTGTTTACAGTTCACGTTCGACATCACATATTCAATTGATTTATGTGTTTTGTTTGTGAAGAATTGCAGAAATAATTTATGTAATATTTATGTGTGTGATGTAAACAGAGCGCTTGGCCTCTCTCTCTCTCTGTATGAATGGAATTCGTGGTTTAGAGTGAGTGAATACTACTACTTAAACACATCAATACTATGTTAATTGATCACTGTATAATAAATTCATTCACTCATAATTTCAAATTCCCTTATCATCCTGTGTTATACTTGAGTCCCTGAGCGAGTACACAAAATGAAAACGGAGGACTAAGACATCCTGGAGTGGTAGAGAACGGACATCTCTACTGGGGCACTCAAACGGTTCTCATGTTTTGTGGGCGCTCTAGCATAATATGAATATGTAAATTACAATTTACATATATATATATGTAAATTGTAAAAATTTAAATAAAAGAGAAAAACTAAATACGTAGCGTTTAAAGTGTACTGTACAGTGTTGTGGCTTGGCTCAATGTTTTGTTTGTGAAGAAATACCTGTACAGTATATGTAAATTGTAAAATTTTAAATAAGAGAAAAACAAAATAAGTAGCGTTTAAAGTGTACTGTACATTGTGGCTTGGCGCGGGGTTTACAGTTCACGTTCGACATCACATGTTCAATTGATTTACGTGTTTTGTTTGTGAAGAATTGCAGAAATAATTTATGTAATATTTATGTATACAGTATACCTGTACAGTATATGTAAAATGTAAAATTTTAAATAAGAGAAAAACAAAATACATAGCGTTTTAGACCCGCGCGCTCTGTTGACTCCAGTGTGAAGTTTTGAAGTGTCCTCAGTGAATTGTGTTTATTGTTTCTCCACTTTTGTGACGATGGAAAGGAAGAATATCTCTGGGAAGCACTCTGGTGATCGCATTTCCGGTGGTGATCGTAAAAGAAAGGCTATAACACTTGAAGAAAAGCTTGATGTTTTATGACTCCTCAGCCTCAACATCAACCTTCTACCCCATCAAGTTATATTCAAATTTTTTCAAGGTAAAGTGTAACATTTACTCTATGATTTCATTATTAGATATTAGGGTGTGTCATAGGAGGGAAGATCAGCTAAAACTAATGGCCCATCACTTTTTTGGTAGATTTTAGTGTATATAAACATAAAATAATTTCAGTTTCAATATTTTGCAACCTTTTGCTAGGTAAATTTTAGCGTGAAATTTATCGAAAATCTAACGTACAGCTGCATTAGTGCATTACAATTAAATAGTGAACATTGCTTTCTGACTTCATTCTTTAACAACCCAACTAACAATATATTTTTTTTTTTGATTCTGATGCATTTATAAGTTGATAATATTTGCGATGGCTGCTTGTGTCAGGACGAGGAACCAAAAATCAGCCATCTCAGTCACTATCTTGGGTCTGGGAGAGAGCTCCTGAAGTCGGAGTTGCCTACATTGAGAGATGCTTTGAGATACGGTGTTTTAATCAGGCAAATTAGTGAAAAGAACCAAAGAACACAAAAACAAGACATTGCCAGTGATATGACCAAAGCTGTCTTGGCACAGTACACTCTGGCTAACTCTCAGTTCAAGCCTCCAGTCATAACAAGAAAGAAGATTAGTGAGAGACTGCTAGCCAGTTGGGAAAAGGCAAGAGATATCTCTCTTGGGAGAGGAAAACTTGCAGTTAGGACAGCTTTGCCAAGCAACTGGACCAGTTATTTGACATAATTACTTGCAAGTGCCCAATTGTTCTCTGTCCTGAGTTTGGATGCGATCGTGACTGTAAATCCGAGGCCCACATCTCCTGTATTTGCAAGTGAACTGAAGATTCCTGTGATCGAACTGGCATTTGTCAAAGCAGAGAGAGAAGACTGGCAGTATAGGGGCTCTCATGATTTCTAGCCAAGATATTCCGGAGTCCAAGAGACAGGAGGCTGCCACAGAGACACACAAGAGGAGAAGAGTTGCCGAGGAAAAGAGACTTGAGAAGGCCCAGGGTGAGGTAAAAAAGGCCGATGATTGGAGTCAAGCTGATTCAGAGTTTAATGACTTCCCCATGGCTGATCCGAGTGCTGACCAGGAGAATGGTGACTTTGTCCCTAACCCAGAAAATAATGATCCCAAACCTTCCAGGCATAAGATTCGAAATAGGAAAGATATCCCGAGCATAGCTCTGGCCAGCATGCGACACCACACTGGTCTCAGAGAAACTGCAGAGATAGCAACAGCTGCCTGGGTTGACGGTGGTTTGATAACTCCTGATGATGTTCACCTGGTGATAGATCATAACAAAGTATGGAGAGCTCAGGAAACACTTGTCAGTAACCTAGAAGAGGAGTTTGGTAAGGGGATAAGAGAAAATGGAATCAATTGTTTGTTCTTTGATGGGAGAAGGGATGACACTAAAGTGTTCATGAAAGTTGGAGATTCTGACAAGTTGTTCCCTGCCATGGTGAAGGAGGAACACTACTCCTGCTGCAGTGAACCAGGAGGGAAGTATTTGTGGCATCATTTATTTTTTTTACTTTCAAAAAGGCACATCTAAGGATGTTGGGGATGAATGAATTCTCAGGTAACAATGGTGAAGACAATACCTTTTTGGCTCAAAAGCTGAGAAAACTCTTTGGTTTAACAGGCAAAGAATGTTAACACTTTATAAAAAAAATTCCAGGTTTATGGAAAAACAATGGCTAGTACAATATTTATTTTCACTTTAACGGTTGGACTTGGCAACACGTTCCAGCTCATCCTTCTTCTTGATGGCATAGCTGTTAGAAGATCCCTGGAAAAACAAAAAAACAAACTTTTGTAATAACTCTTTTTTTAAGATCTCATAAAATTTATTATTATGATACCTCAACTCCCTCCAGATTTCAGGGATGGTTGTCATAAAATTTTTCCGAAAACATTTCAATAAGAAATACAAAAATATATTATCCAGCCACATCGACAATATACCTTGGCAGCATTGATCAGCTCATCAGCGAGGCACTCGGCAATGGTCTTAATGTTACGGAACGCTGCCTCGCGGGCACCCGTGGTCAGCAGCCAGATAGCCTTTGGAAAAGAAAGAAAATGTAAGGCCACAACCATTTTATAAAAGTAAAGCACTTTAAGTCAACAAAATTCGTGTTTGGAGGTTACTATCAAACTCCAGTCATAGGGTTAAAAACCCTTGTGGTGTTAGCGAATCCTCCAGGTTACTATAGCACACTTTCCGACACCACAACAGTAAAAGAACACTGATATGGCTCTAATAGGTGCAAACTTTTGAAAATGTCAACTTCAAAGCCCACAGCATTTTTTTCAATGGACAGCTGTTCATTTTATTCTATGGTCAAACTTAATAGATAGTTCCTATTAAAAGTGGACCCCTCTGAGGGATACAAAATCTGAGAGGGTTGGTAAAAACATCTCAAAAACATTCAGAGTGGAGGACCATAGTTGCCAACCCTCAGATGTGTGAATGGCACACGACCAAATCCAATTGACCCCAAAAAATTATTTTTTTATCAAGACCAACATATAAATTTATATATTTCAGTTACCACCATTAATAAACTTCACAAAAATCAGTTATCTATACTGTATAAGTATAAAACCAATTCTGAATGTGTGCATGTTTCTTGTGCATTTCCAAGTTTGAAGATAGGCTGAAATTTTCGGAGGCTAGAGCATGCATTCCTAAGCATTTTCCAGTCCTGTCGCCTATCCAGTACAACCCTTAACATACGCGGGTTTAGCATACACGGATTTGCAAATAACCGGATTGCCCCGCCGGAGGAATATTCTGTACATTGAAGTACATTCAACTCGCACCGAACACGGGACACCGCCCTCTCCCGCAACCTCACACACACACACACACGCATAGCTCTCCCTCACTCAGTCAAGTCTCGCTGTAACCATGTTTGTGTTGACATCAGTATTGTAGTTGCAAAAATATTACATTTCCGTGAATGTATTATATCAAGCACAGTATGAATAGAATATCACTAATATAACAGTATTTTAACCGAAAACTATTAAAAAAACGAGTAACATATCTTGAACATCAGAAGGTTAGGTAAAAGGCTTTTGTTTTCGTCGTGTATTTTATCCTATTTTACATTGAAATACATCACGTTTCAGCAAAACTACTATTTATTTCTGAGAATATATTCATTCAGGCGCAGTTTAGGTAAAATATACATGTGATATAACATCTTTTTAACTGAAAACGATTCAAAAAACAAAAACCCTCTAGCCCTGTAAATGAGAAGACTGGGAAGAGCTGTTTGGTGCTGAAGACGATGACAAGGAAAAGGATTTTGATGGATTTTAATGAAAATATTCAGAAATATGGTATCGTAGTATTTATTCAGGTGAATTAGGATAGAATATTATTGTAATACAATACAATACAAACTCAATGTTCACTCCACTGTAAACAAAGATAAACTAAGAAGCATTGGTGGGTGATTCGATCAGCTGAAGGGCACACAAAAACTGTTCCCTGTACTGTTTATATTAGCAATATATTAACTAAATTTCAGAATGACCAATAATTTTAATATAAAAATGCAAAAATATTTCAGCACAACTTTCTTGATATTTCCTCAACTGGAAACGAATGTAAACATAGAACCAATTACTGTATTGGCGAACTAACCGATCAGCTGATGCACACACCAGAGTGTGTTTCTCGTAAGGCTATCGTTAATGGAACTGAAAATCCTTATGAAGGTTAATTCGTTAACTGAAATTTCATTAATTGAACAGTTCGTTAATCAAGGGACCACTGTATTGGTAAAACAAGTCATCAAAGTCTGCATTTTACAAGAACATATTTATTTATAAAAATAATCCTACCAAAATAACTTCTGTTGACAACCCCCCACCCACCCCCAACAAGACTTGAAAGCTTTAGGTCACTACACAATAGTCAATAGTTACCTGGTTGACTCCATGCGTTACGAGTAGAGAACTGAAAATCCTTATGAAGGTTAATTCGTTAACTGAACTATTACCAATTGAAGTTCGTAATCAAACATGAGTCAAGTTAACTTATATAATTTATAAAAATAATCCTACCAAAATAACTCATGTTGACAACCCCCCACCCACCCCCAACAAGACTTGAAAGCTTTAGGTCACTACACAATAGTCAATAGTTACCTGGTTGACACGACGAAGAGGGGACACATCCACAGCCTGCCTCCTCACTGTACCAGCACGACCAATACGAGTAGAGTCCTCACGGGGCCCCGAGTTGATGATGGCATTAACTACAACCTGTACTGGGTTCTGAAAAGACAGAACAGTTTCAGTGACAGCTAATGCAGTGAGCACTAAAATACCAACTTAAAGTAAGTACCAAACATGAGTCATTAACTTATAAATGCTTTGTCTGGAGGGTACTATCAAACCCCACTCATCGGGTAAATAACCCTCAGTGGTGTTAGCGAATCCTCCACTTTTCTCTAGCACACTTTCGACACCACAGTAGTATAAGGAACTACCATGGCTCTAATAGGTGCAGGCACTCTAATAACTCACTCATGTAATATGGAACACTATGCATTTTTTTAGCAAGTGGAAAGGAATAAATATTTGCTGGTGCTTTTATGAGTTACAAGAATATGAGCTTAAGATGAGGCAAGATCTAGGAATATAAACGGTTCAGCTTACCCTATTGTAGGCAAATTACTGGAAGCAATCATTTCAAACTCTATTCGAAATCACCTGGAGAAGCACCGATTGGTCAATGATTCCCAGCATGGTTTCACAAGCGGATGTTCTTGTCTAACTAATCTATTAACATTCTTTTCATCAGTTTTCGAATCGGTGGACGAGGGGCGCACTTATGATGTGGTATATCTCGACTTTAGCAAAGCCTTAAACAGAGTCCCCCACGAAAGACTAATTAGAAAGGTAGAAGCACATGGCATCAAAGGTAACATCCTTAAATGGATTAGGGCGTGGTTACAGGACAGGAAACAGCGGGTGAGCATTAACGGCACTAAGTCCCATTGGAGCAACGTCAAAAGTGGAGTTCCCCAAGACTCAGTAATTGGACCATTATTATTTATTATATACATAAACAACATAGATATCGGCATAGACAGCAACATAAGTAAATTTGCTGATGACACTAAAATAGGACGTGTTATTAAATCTGACGAGGACTCCGCAAAACTACAGGAAGATCTAAACAAATTTTTCGAAAGGTCTGAAAAATGGCAGATGAAATTCAACGTGGACAAATGTAAAGTACTCAGTATAGGAGATGTAAACAGGGAAACCAGATACCAGATGAACAACGATGCCATAGAGAAATCCGACTGCGAGAGAGATTTAGGAGTAATGATAAGTAGGAACCTTAAGCTAAGTAAACAATGTGTTTTTGCTCGTAACAAGGCTAATAAAGTACTTGGGTTCATACAAAGGAGTGTTAGTTACAGGACTAGCGAGGTCATCCTAAAACTGTATCTTGCGCTTGTGAGACCACATCTGGATTACGCAGTTCAGTTCTGGTCACCGTATTACAGAATGGATATAGAATCATTGGAAAGAATTCAGAGGAGAATGACAAGACTAATCCCGGGCATTAGGAACCTTGAGTATAGAGACAGGTTAAAGCATCTTAATTTGCACTCCCTCAAGAGACGTAGAGCGAGGGGCAACCTGATAGAGGTGTATAAGTGGAAGTCAGGGCTAAACAAAGGGGACATTACAAAGGTACTCAAACTATCCAACCAGGAGCGAACTCGCAACAATGGTTTTAAATTAGACAAATTTGGATTTAGGCGTGAAATAGGTAAAAACTGGTTCGGAAACAGAGTAGTGGATGAATGGAACAAGTTACCAAATATCATCATTAACTCGAATACGCTGAATAGCTTCAAACATAGGTTGGATGCTTATATGAGCAATAGGGGTTGGGTGTAAATGGGACTGCCCAGTATGGGCCAATAGGCCCGCTGCAGTTTCCTCCATTCTTATGTTCTTATGAGTGAAAAATGCATGTGCATTGAAGGGTTATAACTGAAAAAACACAAGCGGTTCACATGAAAAAAGGATATAATGCAGAACTTATTCCTAACCATGAATTCACAATGTGGTCATACAGTACAGTGCCTTGGCTGCAGCTTATGCAAATATTTAATTTGTACAGTGAAGCAATTACTGTACAAGTAAGACAGCAAATAGGAAATTAAACAAGTTTATTAGCCTTTCTTTGGAGCAAACCTGGCACAGTAGTATAAAACTTTATGGTATAGAGAACCTTGTGCTGCACATTAGCGACGGAAGACAACTAACCTCGCCAGTAAGGAGATGAATGATCTCGAAAGAATGCTTCACAATACGAACAGCCAAGAGCTTCTTGCCATTATTACGTCCGTGCATCATGAGGGAGTTGGTGAGACGTTCAACAATGGGGCATTGGGCCTTGCGGAAACGTTTGGCAGCATACCGGCCAGCAGAGTGGGGCAGGTACTTGGCATGGTATTTCTTAACAGCAATATAGTCCTGCAAGAAAAGATTTTAAGACAGTTAAGTATACAAGGCAATTCAAGTCACACCTCAAGTGATTTTCTATGGATAAAAGCATTTGCAATTATATAATTGGCATAATATAGACCCAGTGGCCAATGCTAATTTTTTTCCAGAAGATTCACTTTAAATCAAAATTCATGAAGATCACATGATGTGTATTGACACAGTTATTTCAGAAGTTACGAGATACAGTACAAGGACACCCACTGCTACAGTCCAAATACGTACTGCATACTGTACTGTACACTCAATTCCAGATCTGAAATCTCCAGAGTTCACTCTCTTCTTGCAGATCATCCATCATAACGTACCTGGAGGGACATGTCACTGAGCTGCACATCATCAAGTGACCATTTCCCGAAGAGTTTGATCTCTGGCAGCTCAGGGGCCTCGACCACTGTCGCTTGAATGGTCGTAACCTCCTCTGTCCCGTCCTCAAAATCCGCCATCTATATTGAGGATATGCCAAAGAATATGATATTACAGTTGTAACAAAATTATCTAACAGAACAAAGACAAAACTTTCACTACACACACCAGCTTTGTCCACCATAATCCCATCAAACTGATGATAAACTTATCCAACTTAAATCCATTGCTACGAGTCCTATCCTGCTCGGATATTACAAGAACTTTATATCTCCTTTGATTCCTTTCACCCACTTAAATACTTCAATCATATCTCCCCGCACTCTTCGACTTTCTAGGGAATGCAAGTTTAGCTTCTTTAACCTATCCTGATATTTGAGGTTTCTAAGTCCCGGAATCATTTTCGTCATTCTTCGCTGCACTACAGTACACTACCTTTAGCAATATTACTTTGATACCACATGATAAAATAGACAAACAATGAAACTGTAACAAACAAAAGTAGGTAATTATGTTCAGGAAGCTTCCCTGTGGCCGGTGTGTGGCGTGACAGGCAAATAGTCACACCGGAACCTGATAACCCGCACTGTGCATTTACACAGTGGCAGGAATAGGCGGACATTCTGGAACGTCACCCGGGAAGTTAGGTAAGGTTAGGTCTGTTAAGTATGTTTTTCATACCCACAAATGTTAAGTAACGTTTATTTTTAAAAATTAAAATTTTTAACATATTTCCACAAACTACAAGTGTCCACTACAATATAACAGTGAAAATCCGGTGTTTTCATAATATTTTTCGATCAGTTTCACTCATTGGTTAGTCCTATATAATTACCACTTACTATAAAAGAGGCGACATTTACTACAACCTGACCTTACCAACCAAAAAAACCTACCTAACCTGACCTAACTTCCTAGCCAGGGTGTGGACCCCCAGTCATATTAAACAGAAGTACTTAGCCAATCAGAGTGCAATCATGATAAAATAACGTTATCAGGAACTCAGCCGTCACCACAAAATATCCACTACATATATTAACACAACGACCTCAAGCTGCTGCTCCAACACACCCGTCAGCCACTTGACAGCCCCATTACGATATTTTCACCAAATACCACCATAGTATGGACAAACACTTATTAGGAAGACTTAAGATGAGTTATAAGAACACTCTACAGCAACAAACACTCAGGTCCCGAGACTCACACCACCGCGTCTCAGATGGACACATGGCCAACAATGTTTACTCCTACATTTTGATGTTTTTTAACCCACTTTATACTTACCTTCTGGTCTTACTATTACAAAGAACTCTTTAATACTCATAAGTATTCACAACAGATATGATGCTGACCAGTTAACTACAGAAATTAGCTATTTAATGACCAAGAGACAGCACAGCCCTCACCTCGTGTGTGGACACAGGACCAGAAAGACGACATTAAGGTTATGGATTTAAAAACATAATTCTGGATTATAAGAAACAAAATTCAAGTTAATTATATTTTTATTTTAAATATAAAAATTATTTAAAATCTAAGAAAGGAAATATTTTATTTAATTACGTCATAATTTACAGTAACTATTTTCTGTGTACGGTGGAGTGAAGACTTCCTGATGGCGGGATATTCAAAACTCTGATGGGCTCTATGGCTATTAGTGTATTAATTCTGATGGGCTCTATGGCTATTAGTGTATTAATTCTGATGGGCTCTATGGCTATTAGTTGTATTAATTCTGATGGGCTCTATGGCTATTAGTTGTATTAATTCTGATGGGCTCTATGGCTATTAGTGTATTAATTCTGATGGGCTCTATGGCTATTAGTGTATTAATTCTGATGGGCTCTATGGCTATTAGTTGTATTAATTCTGATGGGCTCTATGGCTATTAGTTGTATTAATTCTGATGGGCTCTATGGCTATTAGTTGTATTAATTCTGATGGGCTCTATGGCTATTAGTCGTATTAATTCTGATGGGCTCTATGGCTATTAGTTGTATTAATTCTGATGGGCTCTATGGCTATTAGTTGTATTAATTCTGATGGGCTCTATGGCTATTAGTTGTATTAATTCTGATGGGCTCTATGGCTATTAGTGTATTAATTCTGATGGGCTCTATGGCTATTAGTGTATTAATTCTGATGGGCTCTATGGCTATTAGTTGTATTAATTCTGATGGGCTCTATGGCTATTAGTGTATTAATTCTTATTCTGGTTGAACGTGTCAGGCCTGTCGAAATTTTTATTGTGTTGTGGCATCAATTTTTTTAATAGGAGCGGGCTACTCTCGTCACTACATATACTCAGGGTATAAAATAATAATTTGAACTAAAATTAATGCGTGTTCGTTTTGGGAGTTCTTCTGGACATTTGACGCTCATGAGAGAACTTATATACTGTAAACGGCTTTCAAGTACAGCAGCCTGACTAAGAAAAGGCGACTTACCCATCGAGTTCTTAAACCCGCCTCCCTTCCATTAAACAATTTACTTAATTACTTCCAGGCGCGGCAGACTAATTAGACATGTGGCCAATTAGAACCTAGGCTTAAGGGAAAAAAATCATTTAACACCTACTCAATAGTGGGTTGCATAAACTTAATACTATGGTAGCAATGGTAGACACCCAGAACACTGACCTTTACCAATCATATGAATGGTATGAGAAAAAGTGGCCAAGCTGCAATGCAGACCCTATTGTCATTCTTCAACATGTGACATTATCTTAAGATTTGTTACTTAATGCATGCTCTGCCTTCTGTGTTTCCATACTTATACAATGTCTCACTTTAAAATGCTGGTTTTCCGGCATCTTCGTGATGTAGAAAACACAGTATAACCCTTTCTTCTCTATTTTTAATTTCTTTAATTTTTTTCGTCCCCTACGCCCCGTTGTGGGTCGTTGGACTTGTGCCCGGGTGGGCTAATTCCCATAAAAAAGGAAAAAAAAGGGGGGGGGGTTCAAGGGAAAGCTGGCTTTGTGATCAAATCTTTTCTCTCATATCAATCTTTAAAATTATTGAATATTATTTACCGGTAAGTTAAAATATTAAAAATTTGTACAGAAGAGAGTACAAGAAAAAAATTGGCTTTGAGCTCCTAACAGCATGGAGGAAACTGTGTGAGCCATGCTGATGGACAATGAATTGATGAAAGAAAAGTGGATCCTGTGATGGTGCATATACAACAACACACTATACACTAAGCCATTTTTCAACACACAAGGAGACAGAATGACCAAGACTGTACTTGACCATTTTCATTTTGATGAACTGAAGGCACTCTGATCACAAACCAGCAGGTAAGGATTCCCTAATCTACCCCAACATGAGCAAAAATTTAAATGCAAAGAACATGAAACATTCATTGATGATGGCTGCCATCTCTACAGCTAATGTCCACTGATGTTGGCTGTTGTTTCATCCATTGTGTATGGGGTCCCCTTTGTGTTAAATATAATTGTCTTGCATTAGCCAAATGAAATATTAAAAGTGGCATCCCCATAGTGAGGGGTTAGGTGTTAAGAAATAATGATGACCTAACATGTACAGGTATTTCAAAATGCCAAGGTATGAAACTGGGGCATGTGCTGACACTGTATATGCACGGACACAGAAGTGATAAACACGTGAACTAGCGAGAGATACTCGCACGAGACTCCAGCGTAAGGGGGGTTCAGGAGGTCACACGCACATAAGTGGGGTTGCACACTCTGAGATCCTACTGTACTTCTCTAACTGGATACTCTTAAAATTTTATTTATTGTACAGAACAAAGTGGGATACAATAAATTTGCTGAAGAGTACAAGTTTAAAAATTCTTATTAAATTTTATTTATAATGTACAGTACACTGTTGTGAAGACATTTAAGCAACACCAATAACCATCAATTGATATATGATAAGATTTTAGTACAACTGATTAACTTTAACTAAAACATGAGGTGAAAATGAATGTATAGTATTCTATCTGTCTAGAGTAGAGTACAGTACAGTATAATGGACTCTGTTCCTCTAATGTGGTTTGGCTGAATAGTTTTCTCACATGTACAGTACTAGGCTAAGGAATATGATAACCAACATATAGATAAATCAGTACAGTAATTTTGTGAACACAAGGCTAAAGAAATTACAATGTCTGGATGCTAAGAAATCCTTTCAGCCTTCATCTTGGAGGTGTCACCATGTCGAGGTTGATGAGGTGCCTCATTGTTGGACGACCATGAGGGCAGTTCCATGGCTGTTCAATCTCACCCATGTGGCACACAAGCTTTTGCATCTGTGCTTGTGTTAGTGCAGTGCCAATCATGACTGACTTCCGACATGCTCTAGAGGCAAACATGGCCCTAACACGTGACGGCCGACACATTACACCAGGTGCGTCAGAAAGCATGAAAATTAATTCCTCGATATCCTCTCGTCCAAACTCCCAGCCACGACTGAAAGGCATTGACACAAGGCTCACTCTGCGACCCACTGGCTTCTCCTCATCGACCTTAAATTCAAATCCATTCTTCCTGAAGATCTCTATGTTATCCAGCAAAATTGATTCATTCACTGCAGTTAATTCAAGTGTCTGAGGAATGATGAGTCGCTGATTCTGGAGAATACATGTTTGTTGGAGAGTCTCAAAGTTGTATTTCTCGTCTGTTGCATGCTGGTCTATTATGAACAGGTCTGAGCCAAGGCGACCAATGATGAATCCTAAATTAAACTGCCCTAATATTTCCATCTGAAAGGAAGAAAGCAGCCATTTTTAGTACAGGATACATAAAGAAAAAAGAAAAAGAAAATTCCACTCAGAAGAAACAGTAGTTGAAATCCTTGGCCAGGTGAAGCTTGGGCAACTGTTTTGCCCCTTTTAATTTGAAACTAATTACGATTGATGGACAGACATACTGTACAGTATAGTATAACTAATGTGATTCAAGAGCATCCCCAAAATTTCGCCCAAAGCTCTTAAGCTAAAGGCATATTATTTCATAGGCCTGTAAATTATCCCCCCCAGGATTTTCTAAATGTAAAGTTATCAAGGTAATCTTTTACAACATATCTGTAAGCTTACCTCTGCAAACATATCCTTTGAAATCTGTTTCCTCAGCTCATCTTCAGCAGCACTGTTCTCTGTGGGAGATATTGTGGCACGAAACTTGCGGAAAACATCTGTGTGTTTGTCCTTTATCTGCAACGATTTAAGTCTCTGCTTTATTGTTTCCAGATTAAAGTAAACTTTCTTTGACTTTCTCTTGTCCACAAAGTCACTTGCATCATAATCTTCACACAACACCACTTTTCTGCAGATGTTACCATTATATTCATTCTTATGAGTCTCACTATCTTCCTTGTCCATTACATCTGAACCTTCACATACTATCTCTAAATCATTATCTTCATTATCTTGAGAAAACTCTGTTTTGAAATCACCACCTGTATGTCCATTCGTTAAATCGTTCTTAAGAGTCTTCATAACTTGAGTCACAGTTTTTTTGACAAGTAAATTGTTTAAGAACTTGTCTGTGGCACTGTGAGCCTTTCTAGAGCTTGAGGATGTTGGTAATGATGCTGACCTATAAAATTTTGCAAATGTATTTTTTAAGCCATTTTCTTTTGAACCTTTGTCAGTAAGAGGTGGATAACTGTTTACCTTTGAATCACTCTTTTCTAATTCACTACTAGTAGAACTATTGTATCTTTGGGTATCTGCTTTTGATGAGCAATGATTTTCACCAACTACATCATCAGAAAAATCATTGAGATCTTGAGTATCACTACTATCAACATTACCCACAGCTGCCTCACTTGTTTTAAACATGTCACAATTCATATTCACATCCACAGAATTAATACAATCTTGAATACATGTACTGTCTATTTGAGGTTCTTCCAAGTCTTGTGTTATCTTCGTTGCGTCTTCCAGCGTTTCATCTGTCTTTATCTCACTGACAGACTGGCTTGAGAGAGGCTGGATGCCATCCATACTGAGATCACCAAGTAGAGAATCAGATGAATCCTCAACAGTACCAGAAGTTCCTGATGGGTCTGATGATGTGCTCTTCCTCAAGAAGGATATCAGCTTTGGTTCTGTCAAAAGGTACAGATATCAGGTCATACAAATTATTTTACAGGCAGCTGCTGGTCTAGGTTGAAACAGCTTGTGCTCCAGCCAGGAAGAGATTGCTCACACTAGATACTTCCAATCTTCCCAAACAAACAAACAAATACAGTACAGTACAGTAATATTTCAACACTGAAGAACATTATGCCTGATCAACATAAAACATTTTTATTTTTCCATTTTACAGAAGTAATTAACCACTAAAATTTTTATTTATTCCTTACATTCAAAGGTTTTTTTTACAGAACAGTTCATTTAAAAATGAAACAATAAGCAAATTTCAGATAGACAAAAATAGTAGAGTTAGTCAAGTTATTAGGACTACTGTATTCATACTGCATACACATGAAAACATATTTTCATGAAATAAAAGTTGTCATGATATTAAGCAACACTTAATGCAATAGAGGTATACCCTGGTTATCACAATTGATAACACAAAAGGATAACTGGGGGGGGGGGGGCACTATAGCACAACAAGGGTATAACAGGAGTAATAAGAGTGAATGATAAGTGTGTGTGTGTTTATCCTTATTTACTACCACCATGAATTTGACAATGAAAAGATTTGAAATAGTGAAGTTTAAAAAGTAATATTTCAATTCAAGCTAATTTTCTGTCATTAGTTACAAATAAATTCTTTCAAGAACTTCACAACACAATAAGACACCAAGTAAGACAGTTAGAGAGCATGAACAACAGTGAGAGGTGGCCAGTGTGTGCGTTGCTCTTTATATCAGCAAACCAGTGCTGTGGTGACAATAAATTTGCAAGTGGGGAGGAAGCATACGTTTGTTAGTAGGGCTGTTGGTTGAGCTCAAACTTCGCTTGAGACCACTTATGGACACTGGCGATGATGCAGGTGGTGATGATCCCACACAATTGCGTCCAAACCTCTGGCTAAGAGCAGAAAATTTTCCAGTACCGGCTCCTGGTGTCACAGTACGACTGACAACACTTGGGCTTGGACTACAAAATGAACTGTTTAACGAGTTATTCAATGGAGAGTTGAGGGATGTGTTCTGGAGATTATAAGTGGAAGGGATGTTCTCATACAGTCGAATTAAAGAAGTCTGAAATGGAAACAAATATTTGAGGTTAAATTACAGACAATCTTTTAGCTTAACATACCTCTTTACCTCTAGTTTAATTCCAGTAAATACAAAATTTTGCTACAGATATCTGATATGGTTTTTGAGTTATTCTCCAGAAATGAATTTTGGATGGATGATTAGACAGGCTGACGGACTGACAGAACCAGTTATAATTCTCCCAACAACTTCAATGAAAGTGAAATAAAAGGTTATATTGAACAGGATGGTTATAAATTTCTAAAGCAATAAACAAGTACAGTACAATTCCTTTGTGTAACTCCTTTATAGATGTTTGGATAATATTGGATCTTCAAATAATGAAATAAGAAAGTCAGTGGGAGAAATACCCGAGAACACTCAAAATGTAATAATTATTAACTCTGTTAACCGGAATCCCCCAAACCCGGAACTCTCCAATAGGTGGAATTGAAATTTTCTCGTAAAATTACGGGGATGGGGAATTTTTTTTTCCAGGTATGAGAGACGAAAATCAAGCACATTCTCTGGAAATTCCAAGAAAATTTTTTGGGGGAATGGGGGATATTTTTCCGGGTTTGAAAGATGACGTAATCAGAGCACACCCAACCTTCACAGCGTGCGGACGTGCTGCGCATCGCTCCCAGCTCATGTTCAAATTTGTTGATAGTTAAGACTGTCAGCCTTGTTTTTTACGTAGGGTTCACTCTAGCTGCTTTATCTTGTAGTTGTACATGGATATTATTATTCTTGTACACCGCGCTTCTTCCCTATCCTATCCTTTCGTCTAGAGTCCCTGCTGTTTGGTAACGATGTGAACCCTGCGGGCAGAACCACAAGGGGGGCCCTCAGAGGACTGCTGAGTCCAAACAGTAAGGGTGGCAACATTTTTTGTTAAGTATTCGGCAGTGCTTCATAACGTGTCACTGTTAGGTGTTAGGGTTTGGCTAGGCCCCGTCAGGGGATTGTCTGTTCACCCTACCCCTAGACCCGTCTTTTCAGAAAATTCTCTCGTTTTTAACCTCAAAAAATTTGTTCCCAAAGCCGGATTTTTTTTTAAATTCCGGCTTTGGGAATGATTTTCTGAGCAAATTTCAATTCCGGCTATCGGGGATTTCCAGGTTTGAGGGATTCCGGCTAACGGAGATATTACTGTAATAATAATTAACGGTTCATTGAAAGAGCATGGCAGCCAGAAGGCTGAAAATATACAGTTACATAATTGGGGAATGGGTCTCTTGATGACAAATAACATTAGTGGGGAGAAGGTTATACTACAGGACATTTCAACATAGTGACAGTGCAAAAAGGCAAGATTGGCTGGGAGTGAATACATACACTGGTTGATTACGAGTTGTTGATAATTTTTATAATGGTTGGGACTGGGCTGTTCTTATAGCATGTTTGTGTGTGTGTGTGTGTGTGTGTGTGTGTATGTGTACACACACACATATACAATGCAGTAAAGCCTCTGATAACAACAGTTCGACCAACAACTTTTCATATTTAAGACCCTAGTTAATTTAGGACCCATTTCAATTTACGTCCATATTTCATTCGTATTTACAACCAAAATATAATAAAAATATAATAAAATTACATTTTCATATAAATAATAACTAAATCCCGATATGTATTATTATAAAAAATATATAAATAAATAAAATACTGCAAAAAAATGAAGAGCGCCTTGCACAAAGAAGCTGCCTGGCTAATGAGTGGTAATGCGCATAGCCAGTAAACAAAAGTCGGAGCCTGGCAGTCCCTTTGTTTTCACACATCTCGAACAGGAACAGGAAAAAAACTTTCTCAGGTTTCTTACAGCATTTTTGCATCCCTATTTAACATGAGCAAGAGAGCAAGTGATGGAAGTGTTGTTTCAAAAGCTAATAGAAAGTGTATAAGCTTAGCCGAGAGACTAGATGTGTTAAAATGATATGAAAAAGGTGAGAGGTCTGTGGATATTATATGGAGCAAGGAATGAACATATTTTCTGAAGTGGATCCATTAACAGAACAAAGCATTAAAATTTAAATAAACACAAACGACCTCTATGTAAAGATGTATAATGAGAAAAGAAAGCAACTGTGCAAGGTTCTTTTGACAGCTTTATTACTCGAAGGCCTAAGCCATCAACTTCAGCTACACCATCAAATTCAGCATCATAAGCAGCTTCAATATCAACTTCAAGTTCAGTAACAGTTTCAGCAACAGCTTTATGGAAAGTTACAGCTTCAGCCAGAGTTGAACCTGATGACTTCGTCATCTGAGTAAAAACTCGCACAATATTCATTGGCTGTCCTTATGTTTTAGACTTTACCACCATTGGTGAGTAAAATATTTGTTATACATTCGTAAATATTATTTAAAACATACGTATATGAACAGTAAATAAGTGTTGCTTTCATATTCATATGTAGAGAAATGACGATATGTTTTCATATGTATGCACTTACTGTTCATACGTTGGCGTTCCCAATTGTCTCGCTTTATTTCTTTACCATTAGTGGTTAGCTAAGTCTATTGTTCCATTTATTAACATTAAATAATGTTACTTAAAACATATATATTAATTTTTTTACATAAATTTTACTACAGCTTCAACCAAGGTCTTATTTTCTTAATTTTCTCGTGTAGAACTATCGTCCCGGACTCCCGGCTGTAAACACAAACGAAAACAATGGCGTCCCATCTCCTCTTGTGTGACCGCATTATTATTCATCTATATTGTATAAGGTGCATTCAGAAACATTTAAAGAATATAGTTTGCAATTTCTTTTAATTGTATTGTTTTTGGGGGAAAAAGAGGTTAAAAAGCCACACAAACAATATGAAAAGGTCACACTTGGGAACGTATCTCATTATTATTGCTTTATTTTAATGGTAATTAATGATTCACCTTACACTGCAATATTGGAGGACACATTACCGTCATTATTTGAGGCTTTACTGTACAGGTATAAGAAATAATTGTCCTAAGGGCAAACACATCAAGGGAATATACATTTTTTGTACACAAGTAAAATGTTCCTCTCCCCTCTGATGAGACATTTTGAGAACCTAACCCCTGTGAGTTTGAAGGGCATGCTGTACAGTCCTTATACTGTATAGGAAAATAATAGAGTACCCGGTAATCATAAAGAAAATAAACATTTTCTATATCAATTGGCATGTGCTCAAAAACATTTCTTTACACCATTCCTTCAAAATACTAACATTAAAGTGTTGTCCAACTAACCTTAATTGTAGCTAGCAAGATCTTTTCATTGTTGACAAGGATTTGTCGCTTGTCTGGTGTAACGTTGATGTCTACATCATCTTGCTTTAGTCGTATATTGAGCACTACACAAGGAGACTGATGTCGGTTATAATGATGGTACACTTCATTGACCACTTTCATCACCTAAAACAAATTACAATTACAGGATACTGTACTATTTTCTTGGCACAAACATAAACAAAAAATTATCTGAAAGTGAAATATCCTCCCTCATTATATTTTGGCTTACTAGACAACAAAGGGCCATTACTGTGTTAGAAATCATGAAAGTGGAACCACAGTGTCAAATGCACATTACCCATCTGCATACCAGTGAAGGCAATTTGAATTTTTACTGAAAACTGTTTAATAGATTGTTTATAGAAACTTTATATATATATATATATATATATATATATATATATATATATATATATATATATATATATATATATATATATATATATATATATATATATATATATATATATATATATTATATATATGTATATATATACAGTATATATATAAATCTCACACACACACACACATTGACTACTAAATCATTATATCCCCTGGGTCAGAGGGATAAAAAGGACAAATCAAGGAAATGTAGCATAACTACAAGATTCAGAATTATTGAATATATATTTTAAAATACACAAGCCAGACCTGGGGTCCAGTGCAGTACTCACCCTGGCTGGGTCACAAGGCCGGGAATTGATAAAGTAGAACTGACGATCAGCAGCAGAGCGTCCCTGACCATGGGAACACGATGACACATACCCCTCCAAGGTGAATAGTGTGTTCTCTAAAGGTGAAAAAATGACTTATATATTACCTAACTATCAACAGAAACCATCATTAAGCATTGAATATTTAAATTACACATGTAAAGTTGGGAAACATCACCCCAGTACAGGCACCTAAACCTGTCCTTGAACAGTATTAATGTTCTGACACTACAGTACTTATAACACTGTTACTATATGGAAAATACAGTACAATACTTTTTAAACTTTTTATCATGGTGTTACCACATGGAAAACACAGTACAGCAAGTCTCCGTTGAATGAAAAGGTTAGGTTCCACTAAATCGCTTTCGTGAGATGGATTACGTACGTTCATTGAAACCATTTTTCCCATATAAATTAATGTAATGTAATGCCAGGCGTACAATAAAAATACGTATGGGATAAATACAAATCTCGTAGTCTTATTCGAAAATGGTGAAAGGCTCAGTGATAAACAAATTATATAAACCATGCATTTACCTACGATATCATAAGAAAAATTGTATCATTACTAGAGTGAACGAAACAATATTCCCACAAACAACAACTGATAACTCTCGGACATATCATCTGAGGAAGAAAAATTTCCTACCTTGGTTTTTATTTTATTTTTTAATTATTTTTTGGCAAATATTTTAGTTCGGCTTGAGCAATATCCGTCTCAGCGGGGTTTTACTGTATTGGGGATTAGTTCAAAGGATTAATGTTCAATAGGGACTTACTGTACAGGTATCAGCACTTGTGACTAAACTTGTATCTGTAATGATGATTCTCACATTGACGATGAGACCATGTAAAAAAGATAGTACCTGTACTTAAGACATACAGTACACTGGCATTGGTTCTAATATACTTCAGACACATATTTGGATTTAATGTGTTCAACTAAAGATACCTTGGGTTAGTCGACAGGATAATTCCATCCCATACTCAGCTAAGACGTCATCAGAGGCAGTTTCTTGTCTGAACTCAAGCAGACTGGAAACCTGGTGAATCACAAGAATACAGTAATAAGAAGCATTTGATCACTAAATATTGTAATTACCTGTACTGTACTGTACATAAATTATTTATCTATGCACTTTTCTCTTTCTAAATAAAGTAAACACAGTATATTATTAAACCAAGTGAAAAGACAAAGGTGAATATAATTTAATATCACATATTAAAAAATCATTTATCCTTTACAATACATTTTCTTGAAATTTTATTTTAAACCCAAACATTAAATCATGTTGCAGGAGATACTGCCTATAGTCCCCTGACCCACCACAGGTTTTATTATTAGCTACAACACTAATATTGTACAGTTACATGACTAATGGCTATCCAAATACTGTACTGTACAGTACTTTTACAAGTGTTAGGCACAATTTCTCATCTGTTGTTATATCATGAACTGCTCTGATACTCTTACTAAAATACTCGGTATATTTAGTCAGAATATTTACCTGTTTGGCCCCAAAAATTGAAGAAATGTTTTCTTTTACAGTCAGGTGTCCACCAGTGGATACAATAACACTTTTCTTGCCTCTATCTGTCTGGTTTGTACATGATATTCTGTAGGGAAATTAATATAAATTTTTACATCACTGACCAGCTAATGTCAAAGTCAAAGGTCATCAGAAATTACCACAATACAGCATCTGTACCAAATTTTTATATCTGGTTAACTTTGACTTTAAGCACACACTTCACTGTCTTAGTCAGCTTCAGATAAAGGTCAAGGTCAAAGTTCATTCAGAAAGGTTACAATACTTTCCAACACTTGTGACTACACCTTCCATGTAATCCTTCTGTACCTTTTTGGATCTGCTTAGCTACATTCCAGAGGAAGCAAAGAACTCTTTTGGCTATTGGTATATGATGACCAGCTAGGCAGAGTACATTTTTATCTACTGTTATTCTGTACTGGTGTTTACCTACTAGAAATGAATACAGTAATGAACAAAGACCATCACTGACCACCAAACAAGAGGGTTGTAAAGGGAAGCCTTACCTCACCCTTGTAGACATTAGGCAGTAAGAGTAGAGGATCTGGACCATCTTGTTGAACTCCTTCTTAATGTTACGGTGAAATTCCTTATGTCGCACAGGCAATGTAGAGAATAGTCCCTGCAGTGAGATTGTTGTGCCAACCTGTGGACACACACTTCTTAGTACTGTAGGAGCATACTGTTTGAAAGTACTTCTGTAAATGGAGTAAATCTAGTATCTCAATTAAATAACCAGTTTTATCTGCTTTTACAGCAAGACTCACCATCCAAAACTTTCATAGTGTATATATTTGCATATTAAATGTTAGTGGCCAAATGAGACCACATGGTAAATTATGACACTCTTGATCTCAGGGAGTTGTAACCCTGCCCTGCCACACCCACAAAGGGAGAGAGAGGTAAGGGTGGTAACAAGTCAACAGTCATCAACTCCCCCCCCTAAACTTTCACTTCAAGAGAGCAAGAGCACAAGTGATGGTAGTGTTGTTTCAAAAGCTAATAGAAAGTGCATTACCTTAGCCAAGAAACTAGATGTGTTAAACGACATGAAAAAGGCGAGAGGTCTGTGGATATTATATGGAGCAAGGAATGAACATATTTTCTGAAGGGGATCTATTAACAGAACAAAGCATTAAAATTTAAATAAACACAAACGACCTCTACATAAAGATGTATAATGAGAAAAGAAAGCAGCTGTGCAAGGTTCTTTAGACAGCTTTATTATTCGAAGGCCTAAACCATCAACTTCAGCTACACCATCAAATTCAGCATCATAAGCAGCTTCAACAACTTCAGGTTCATTAACAGCTTTATGGAAAGCTACAGCTTCAGCCAGAGTTGAACCTGATGACTTCGTCATCTGAGTAAAAACTCGCACAATATTCATTGGCTGTCCTTATGTTTTAGACTTTACCACCATAGGCGAGTAGCATTTTTTTTTCAATCGTAAATATTGTTTAAAACATATATGAACAGTAAATAAGTGTTGCTTTCATATTCATATGTAGAGAAATGACGATATGTTTTCACCTGCACGCACTTACTGTTCATACGTTGGTAGTTCCCAATCGTCTCGCTTTATTTCTTTACCATTAGTGGTTAGCTACTCCTAGTGTTCCATTTATTAACATTAAATAACATTACTTAAAACATACATACAGGTATTATTTTTTTTAAATTAAGTTCACCTCAGCTACAACCAGGGTCTTATTTTCTTCAGTTTCTGTAGAACCATCAAATTTAAAACAATGCCGCTTGTCTCCTTGTGTGTTTTAATATTCCACGATTATTAATGAAATTGAATTGTTCATTTTATATAAACATTAATTCAATCAAATACATAGTCAGTAATAAACAATAATGAATCTTTTGTACACATTCTTAAGATAAATGACTATGTTTCGAGTGCGACGTATACATTAGAGTTCCACTATCAGTCTCACTTTTTTCTTTAATATCAGTGGTTACTTCTACTGTACATTAAATAACAAAAAAACATACCTTTTTTTTTAAATTATTTTCACCTCAGCTACAACCAGGGTCTTATTTTCTTCAGTTTCAGGTGGATAACTGACATTATGGGTGTAAACACTGACAACAATGTCATCTCTTATCCTCTTGTGTGTTTTAATATTCTACATATTATTAATGAAGTGTATTGTTCATAATGAACAATAGGTGTGGACATGCACCAAAGAGGGTAAGGAAAAATTCTACTGACCTGCCTTGACATTGGAGTTTTAGAGACAAGTTTTCCATTGTGGTCATACACAAGTTTACTGCCAACCTCTTCACTGACATGGCGTGTTGTGACAGTCATGTCACTGAGAGCACACAGGGAGCTGAGAGCTTCACCACGAAAGCCAAATGTCTTCACTCCCACCAGGTCCCCAAAATCTTGAAGCTTTGAGGTGTGATGTTTTAAAGCTGCCAGGGATAAGTAAAAAAAAAAACACAATCTTCAATACTGTATCTGGCAGTGTTACTCTATTCAGAACTAAACCATATGGATCAAGTATATGATATGAAGTCTCATATCAAACAAGATAAATCTACTGTATTTATCATTAACTCATGTTAAATGAATAACAAATCAGACAAAATGCTTCACTAATCTGACAACTGCCATTTATTTGTACAAACTATTTATGTGTGTATTCTTATACTGTAAGCACAATACACAGTACCGAGGTGCATATTTTCGCATATAAAATTTAGTATTTGCTTCATTAATTTTTCATCGATGAAGAGCTATCAACTCATATCATGCACTGAAATTTGTTATTCCCCTAACATGTTACCAACTATTAAATGCCAATGGTACAGTAGTTTATATTTTCAAAATTAAGAACTTGGCATTTGATACCATTTACTTACTCAGGCCTTCAAAATCACACTCTTCAACTCCTTTCCCATTGTCTGATACTTCTAGCAGTGTGGTGCCATGATCACGGAGACGCACCTCCACACTGGTAGCACCAGCGTCTAGACTGTTCTCCACCAACTCTTTAACAGCTGTGGCAAGTGTCAGCACAACCTACGAGGAGGGAAGCATTACAACAATAAACTGAGAAGGTATGTAGCAAAGTGATATCATACTGCAGGTGACGGTGTACAGTACAGTATACTGTAGTGTGTGGTTAATAACACAAGAGCGAGATGATGATGATGATGGTAAGTTAAGTGAGAACACATGACTACAATATGGGGAGGGAAAATGGTGTGTGTGACATAGGTGTAGTTGTGTACTATGGACATACATATCTTAATAGGTAAGGTTTGACTGTTCTTCACATGCTGCCTGTTGGTGTAGGGAGATAGGCTATGGATAATGCTAAATAGTTTTATACAAATTTAAGGAAATACTGAAAATTAACTAACACATCTCTTACTAGTAGCAGTGGAAAGATAACATTGTCTACCTGTGTACTGTACTGTATTGCAAAATCTTTATTGCAATGATGAGAAAATTTAAAATATTACTCGGTAATTTATGTTACAACTGTTTTACACAATCATAATGCAAATAATATGTTCTGGTTAGTTTCATTCTTAAAACGTTGCCAGAAGTTTAAAAAAAAACATTATTACGGTACTTTACAATTATATGCAGAGTCCATAGGAAGGAGCTGGAGCCTAGGAAGCTACAGCATCAGTTATTTATGAAAGAAGAGGATAGAAACCACCAAACTAAACCATTCTAAAAGATTCTTAAGGAATTCTCCAACTTGAGCTTCATTGAAATGACCAAAACACTTCTGTTTAGTTCAGTAAAATCATCATACAAGTTTACATTTACTTTGCATGTATATAGTCAATAGATAAACAATATACATACAGTACAAAGTGCAAGTAAACACAAATATATTAAAACAGATTAGTTAAACAAACAATGGTAAACAGTAAGACAGTTTGACCAAGTAAAGAGATTTTAATTTGACCAATTTATACTATGTACTAATTTTCTTCTTCGCCAGGTCAGAAATGTGTGTAGCATTGTAAACTTTTGTGTGTAGAATCTAGGATCAATTAGTGAAGCATTAAGACCCTGGAGCTAGATTAAATACTCACCAAATATCCTGTAATACAGTACAGTACCACCAATTTGGATCACCTGAAGATTGCCCATACTTACTTTACCTTATAATTAACCACACCAATGCTAACCTAACCTAACCTAACCCCCCAAGTACCATTAGAGTATTTAATTGTAGGTGAAATAATTTGAGGGGTTAATCTTCAGGCGATCTAGTTAATGCTGTGAATATGTAGACAAATACCTGTACAGTCAACTCACCTGACCTGAGCAAATGCGGTGGACAGTAGTCTTGTCTATGGCCTTAATGGATTTAGCTGCTTCTAGGGTAGCTGTCCCTCCACCAGGAACTTCTGAAATAATTATAATAGGCCTGGAATAATATAGTTTTTCAGTAATCTTTAATGACCATATTATATACCCTGGTTAATATTCGTACATTGGCTGTCCGCAGGTTCGGTAAATGTTGACCGTGACCTTGGCCTGTCCAATGCTGGACTTAAAAAACATTCGAGTCAGAATCATGAACTCTGATCTAGAAGAACTGAGAAATGCAGAGACCTGGCAGTTGTAGCATTAAATATGACAAATTTTGTGACGAGAGGTACCGGTATGGCCAGCATAAGGACAGAACCAGACAATGTGATGTAGTCGTGGCCAGAAGTAGGCTAGGATACAGACACATCTGGCAAGTTAGTAACGCTGTACCCATACCGGAACACTCAGCATGTAAATTTTGTGATAAACCTTTAAAGCATACACTTGAACACTATATTATTGAATGTGACACTGTCAAAGACTTCAGGCCACCTTGTTTATTGGGTAAATTTGTATAAGTGCACCCAACTCTGTTAGAAAGTAAAAAATATGTTTTTCTAGTGTATTTATGTGTGTTTAGATCGGTTATGACCTTCATTTCCGTCAGATATTGGCCTTTTTTTTTTATAAATTTTTTGGGGTGGGGTGTTTTCCGAAAAAATAATGGCTAATCAAATACAAAATACACAAAAAAACACTAGAAAAACATAAACCTGACCTGACCTAACCTTACTGACTCTCACCATATGATGGAATCACCTATTTCATACCTTATTGGCCTGGTTCTCGTTCGTCGTTGGAGTTACCACAATGCCACATATGTTGGTCTTGACGATATTTACATTCGTTCTTGCACTTAGGACACTTTACTGAGGTCGGGAGAACACCATGAGATCTAAAAATGCTATAGTTTCTTCATTTTTCCCCCAAAACTCGCAATCAACTCCATATAATTAAAGTGACACCCATCGCAGACTTCCGAAAATGAATTTGAAATTCGAAATATGAAACCCAAAATAAAAACTGAATTTGATTGGGCCAAAAATACAGCGAATTAAACCATAAATCATTTTCATTGGTTGCAAAAAAAAAAAGAAAAAGCTTTTGATTGGCCGCATGAAGTGCACGAGAACGCATGCATGTGATGATTTATGAAGGAGACACGCAGTGTGGGAGGTGAGTTAGGCGATAATGGCTGAAGATTAATGGAAGAAAATAGAGAAAATTTTGGATACGCTATCTCCGTTATTATACATTTGTGACGGTAATGTAACAGAATAAAATTATTTTATAATTAGACGTCTTATTCAAATATGATAATAGATTAGGGGTAGGAATGTTGGGTGCAGAAATACAATAATACCGCTTATTGTATCATGAACTTTATAATTACTACATTGAATCGGGGATGCTTGAGGACATTCTTGCTGTTTATCCCAAATTTGCTAGCCCACACTGATTAGTCTTCGATTAGAATATGACGCCCAATGTATATGAACCACTGTCTTGCATGGCAGTGAACAGTGACATCACCCACATGACTCTGACCTATATATACTGTTAATGAGTATGATGCATTTCTTTGTGTATGAACCTCTGACCTGCATGGCAGTGAGAAGTGATACCACCCTCAGTGTCAAGACCTGAATGAATTACTCAGAAGAGGCAAACTGTACTCCAAGAGTGTCAATAAATTTGTTAAACTAAACTAAATTATCATTCACTGGAAATAATTAATATACAATATAAGTTCGAGATGGAAACAACACAGTGCATCAATCATTACATGTCTAAAGCCATTCAACTGTCATTAAAATTCATATTGTAACAAATACTGTATCTGTAAATAAGAAGACAAAATCACAAGAGCTCAGCTGTGGCTGTTTACGTCTTGCTCTTATAGTTATACTTAATCCTTTCTCCGTTTACAACAGAATTATTAAGAACTTTCATAATTAACCTACTATCAATAAATATAACATTAAATGTATTAATAACTTACCCTCTATAGAGATGTTCACTTCCATCTTCAAAACATAGCCGTCAGTGTTACCAACAGTTAACACACATTCGCTATAGTTAGCAAGATGTATATATTTATTAAAGCATATTTTATCTAATAAACGAGAGCATTATCTTAGTTTACAATTTGAAGTTATATGAGCGTATTACGGCAGTTCTAAGCTTACCTTGAGGTATTTTATCAGGTTTGGGAATAATAAGAGTTTTGGGGAAGCATTAACGCGGTGAATCAGGCGACTACGCAGTTGGCTGAGTGTATTTTCCCTGACCAAATAGTCGAGTTGTTTACCAGAACTACTACTACTAATAATAATAATAGTATAGATAATAATAATAATATTTTTATTATTAGTAGTAGTATTTTAATTCAGTAGAAATATCACCAAACAAGTTTACAATTGGCTTGGCATGTACTACCCCATGACTACGCAGGACATGTGTATAGACAACGAAGGTATACGAGACGGTGTACGGTGTAGACCATGCAGGTACACTGTAGTGGACCCCATCGGAGCTCCTACAAGTGACGACTGAGCTCCCGCGCGCCTACCAGCCAATCAGCGTACAGCCAGGGATGCTGGTAGGCCTACTCTCCAGTGTTGACGCACACGTACCAACGCTAGTACCAGAGTGCCAGGGACTCCTGGCCTCCTCTATGATCGGCTCTCACGCTACGCCCACCCCAAATCCTGATGTTTCTAAATGTTATAAATACGGCCGTGGCTGGCGTACCTGGTGTAAATCGAAAGGTTGCGAATTCGTATTTAGGGAAAGTTGTTGGAGCTTCTAAACTTGGAACTAACACAATCCGAGGAGTTGTGACCCGAGGATCACACACCCAATACGTGCGCTATGAGCTAACCAAATAAACGCACTCGTGTAAAGCCACGGCACTATTTCCCCCACTACAATTCCCTTCCTAACCTCCTGCTCCTTCCTCTGTCATCTTCCCCGCTCGGCCTTTCGCTACCCAACAACTTTTGAAGTTTCTAAACTTGGAACATTCTTCTGACCTACTGGACTAGCAAAATCTCTCCAGCGCCTCACCACCAGCTCCCTCAGAAAGCTCCTCGCCCTACAGGACCTCTGAGCAAGCTACTCCTCACCTAGTAACTCCTTAACACTGCACTGTACAACAATATATATACAGAAAACGCATTGTGAGTTTCTATTCTTCGTCATTCCTGAGTGTGAGATATGTACATGTAAGTACGTTTGTGTGCCCATACAAAGAGACAATAGATAACTAAAGAGAATTGACAACTGACCACTTACAGCACGCTACAACTGCACTTCGATATTTTCCTTTAAGATATTCCTTATAATCGAATTCAGTCAATATATTCATGTTACTATCTAGTCTTCAGTGACACACTTAACTCAGTATTACGTGTTATTGTTAAATAAGAAAAACTGAAGGGAAATATATTATACAGTATTACATTCCCGCCACGAGTACTAAGCATGGTCGTCAGGGGAACCAAAATGTATACATTGAATACTTTGTAATTTCGATAAAAATGCTGCATTTTATTTAATTTTTCAATATAAAAATACACAAGATATGAAAATTAACCAACTACTCTAATTATTTTAAGAAGAAAGAGGGTAATTGATGATCATTGTAACTAAAATGTGCTTTATGGTTAATGTTAGAATCCTACCACACACTGTACAAATGGCCCTTTACTTTTTCTTTTATCCTCTTCACCACTGATCGGCTCGGGCGATCGGTCACGTCTCTGTTAATGACTGTCGGCAAATAATGGGCATGCGCCGGCTCCTGAATGTATCTGAACCTGCTCCAGTGCTTGTCAAGTTTGATAGAGAAAGAGCTCACACTCGGTGCCGTCACAACACTCTCCGGCAGATTGTTCCAAGAGTTCACAACTCTCACTCCGAAAAAGTTACCCTCACAGTTTTCTGGACTTGCGGCTTCTTCCTTCACTGAGCTGTGACCCCTTGTGGGGCGAGCGTCCGCCAGCTCCAGATACTTCACCTTATGTTGGGAGTCACTAGGATTAATTTGATCTAGTAATGAATAAATAAGTAGCTTGTCTATTCAATAATACGACCAGTTTCTTCCCTTCCATTATAATTATCGTCGACGTTGGGTTCAAAAACACAATATTGTCTCGGCTTTTCGGAGGGTGCTGGCGAGTCTCTGGCCCCTATTTCCTACCCTCTAGTTGCCGCCATTTGGGAAAATCTGCTGTTTGCTAACTAAATGATAAATGAGATTAGTATCTTCTTACACTGTGATAGGTTGAATGTATTCTGATGAGTCTGCCGAACTTCGGGCATAATTAATTAACGAAATAAAAATAAAAATATCAACGACTGTGTTCGCTGTTTATTGAAAACATTGTTGGTCTTGTGATGTGCGTGGAAAAGGCGAACAATGTTAAAATTAATATGAATATAACTACTGTTTCGTTTTGATCATCATTTTAACCAGATGATCTCAAGTTTCTTCAACCTGAACTATTAATTATATTGTATATTTGAGTTAGTTGGTTCAGGTTTTTTGCTTAATAAAATAAAGTAAGTATTTTAGAGGGATGTTCGTGGTAGTGAGCCAACACGGCAGGTCTTGTGGTGTGTGTGTGGGGACGTCGTATGTTTACTGTGAGCAGCAGCTGTGGTGGTGAGGTACTGCGTCTGTACAGTGATTCACCAACGATGACCCACAGACATCGACCTCGCTAACCCAACTGGAACCTGAGAAAGAGAGAGACCTGAGCCATGGAGAAACTGATACAGATACGGACTAAAGATATTGAAGACCTTCTGAAATATTTCGGGAAGAATACGTACAGGGCGAGAGAAAGTTGTGCCACGGTGAGTGAGTCTTAACATGTGGCAGCCTGGTGTGGGCGGTGCCACTCAACCTCGCCACACCCTCCTCTCAGCCTCTCGTATCCACCACTCTATATGAATATACTTGATAATAAGAGACTTTAACCGGAATTGTGAAGAATTGAAGTAGAAATCTAATAGCAGGTAGTTGGTGGGCGGTGCCAAATCTCTCCCTAGCTTCTAGTCTTGACTTAGTGTGAAGTTTTATTCTCGCAGGAGTGTTATAATTGGTGGAAATATGCAAGTTTGGCAGTGATATTTGGTAGTGTCAGCCTGGCCATAATGTGTGAACCCAGAAGCCTCGGGAGCTAAATTAATCCTTTGAGAAAGATTTAGGCCTAATGATAAGTAGGAATATTAAGCCAAGTAAACAATGTGTATTTTCTCGAGACAAGGCTAATAAAGTACTTGGGTTCATACTAAGGAGTGTTAGTTACAAAATTAGAGAGGTCAACCTGAAACTATATCTTGCTCCTGTGAGACCCCACTTGGATTATGCAGTTCAGTTCTGGTCACCGTATTGCAGAATGGATATAAAATCCCTAGAAAGAATTCAGAGGAGAATGACGAGACTAATCCCGGGCATTAGGAACCTCGAGTACAGAGACAGGTTAAAGCGTCTTAATTTGTACTTAATTTGCGTACTATATTTTTATTTGCTTATGCTCTTATGCGAACAATTCCAGACAAATTAGGAGTTATTTCTCTATATATCAATTTCAATTCTAATTTTCTAAAAATTTGGTTAAGGGGATAAAATTATCTTCGGGTAACTAAATTTGTATTGTAATTTTATAAACTTGAATTGTTGCACACCCAGTTGAAGCATCGTATGTTATTACCGTAGTACACATTTTAACTAATACCTTCTTGACCCCCTTCATTATTAATATGAGAAACTTCTTGACTGGTAGTTTAGTTTATATAAAACACATGTTTTGAAAACATCAGCAAACGCATCGAAACATCTTAATTTCCAGTACTACAATAGTTTTAATATACTAAATTAGTTAAGAATTTAATACCGAAACAGTTACACAATATCTACTGTATACCTCCATCAAAAATGAATAAAAAATTAAGGGATACAGTCAAAAAATTTCTTACAAGCCAGGCTCATTATCTTATCATGTCATAACTGAGGACGAGTCCCTCACACTCAAATAAATATTATGTGTTCTCTGGTTCCTGCTCATGCTAAGTCTGACTAGAACAGTTGCTTATATTAGAAGGTTATATCTCCAGGGGCTTTTACAGGGAGTCTCAGGAAGTGGGTGGGTCTTTACAGTGATCTTGGTCAACATTTTCAGAATTCTCATGAGTGGTGTGAGGATGGGAAAGGTTCTCAGGGAAGGGTCCTCACTATTGTATACCATAGGTATAGGGATTTGCAAGGTCCACCTTTTGGTGTTTCTAAAAAATTAGTGGAAACTTTGGGTCTTCATGGATACTCCATCAAGATTTGCAGTGTAAAGTCAATGGGTTATAGATGAACATGTTGAGAAAGTATCCCCTGGTTCTGTCTTTTCACAAGTGTACTGTACATGTTTAGAAAGATCACCATTTAGCTACTCACAGATACTCACAGATGGTCTTCTGGAAGAGGCTCACGCCTGTTACTCCAGCTCAATAGCCTCTTCTCTACTCAGACGGTGGCTGTGTGTGGCGGATATTTGTGCCCTATAATTATATACTTGTTCTTGATGTTTCCAGTGTTTATCTAATTTTGCTTCAAACTTTTCCACCGTCTCCACATTCACTACCCACTCAGGTAACCCATTCCAGTTGTTGACAACCCTACTCGGGAACGAATGTCTTCTGAGATTTAGCCTCGCTCTTGTTTTGTAGATCTTCTTTGTGTTCCCCCGGGTAGTGTCAGCCTCCCTCATCTGGAACATTTATGTATAAGTACAGTACTGAATAGAATAAGTATGTCCCACACAACATTGTGTTAGTGTACTGTAGATAAGTATTTTGTCATTGAAGGAGTTGACCAGTGATCAGTAAGTGCTGTATGAACTTAATTTACACATAAAAGTTATGTTAAGTGTGAAAGATACTTTAAAAAGGGTACTGGTACAGGTTGACAACCCCCTATCCAAAATTCCGAAAACCTCTGAAAACCTTTACTTTTTTAGTGGAGCATCACTCATGTGCAGGATATACCCCGAGTTTTTTTTTTTTTTTTAACAGGGATTAGCCCACCCTGGCACAGGTCACTGACCCATTTCCGGGTCTGGGGGCGAAAATGTAACAATAATAATAGTAATTCATAGTGAATATAATTTATAATAAAAATTAAAATAATAATGAGAACAATACTAATAATAATAATAAATACAAAAATGAAAAAAAAATCAAGTGAGGAACACGACCTACTGTAGACCTATGAATTATTATTATTATTATTATTATTATTATTATTATTATTATTATTATTATTATTACTACTACAATTTTGCCTCCCAGGTCCCAATGTGGGTCGGTGACCTGTGCCCGGGTGGGCTAAACCCCCTTTAAAAAAAAAATAATAAAAACCCTAACCTTACCATTCTGAAATCCAAAACACATCTGGCCCCAAGGATTTTGGATAAGGGGTTGCCAACCTGTATAAGAGGAGTAGGCAGTAGTGTTGGATCATTTTACAAATCTAGTAGCTGTACTTGCCTTCATAAGGTATGTAAGTTAAGAATCTTATCATTGCTGGGAGATAAGGTAGCTTGTTCAAGTGGCACAGCTTCAACCTACATTGCAAACTAGGGAGAGCAGGGAAGATGTAACTTTAGTCTTAGAACAGTTTACTTTACATCGTGATAAACTGTACTGTGGCCACCTGTTGAAGCATTGTGCCTTAGGAGCTAATTTTAAGACTTAAATGAAGTACAGTCCCTGTATAGTACAGTACTGTACTGTACTGTATTTATGGGAATAACATTGTGTTGTGTGGGGGGGGGGGGTCATGTCATACATGTAGTCATATGATAATGAAACCTTGAGAGTATCAGTAGTAATTGTTTTCTCATATCACAACAGATTTGATAAGCAAACACTCAAATTGTGTGACTGATTCTATATACTGTACAGTACAGTACAAGGTAAACATAATGATGTGCTAAACTAAAATGTCACTGTACAGTACGGCTCTTGGGAACTAAACTGCCAATAAAGTATTATAGTTAACCTAAAAACTAAAAAGCTTTTACTTTACCCATACAGGTTGTTGCACTTCATAAATCTGAAATACTTGGGACCAGAGCCATTTTGGATAACTGAAATTTTTGGTTAACCAAATGTCTATAAAAAAGTAATATTTCACTAAGCCCCAAATAAAGTACGGTACTGTACGATACAGTGATTATAAACTAATATATAATATGTACAGTATAACTGAAATTAAACTTTGCAATATAAAAAATGTGGTAAATTATAGTACCAAAACAAGTACAGTACAGTAGATATTTATGTACAGTTGGGGAATATTTTCCCCTACATTAGTCACACTCATCATTTTTATCATCTACTGCATTAAGTTTTTAATTGCACTATTTTATTGTTATTTGGTAGATATACTGTAAGTTAAATAAAAAATGTAGCAACTTTGCAGTGGGTGGCCAGCCAGCTGCACGGACAGTGATTGGAGAAATTTACTTGGCTTATACATAAATATTTATGGCATATGATGCAGCTACTGAATTTTGGGATTTTGAAATATATGGCATTTGAAACACGTGAAATTTTGGCATTTATGATAAATACACAAGCATTTAATTTTTCATGCTTGTATATTTTAAAATCCCCAAATTCAGTAGCTGCATCATATACCATAAATATCTGTAAGCAAGGTAATTAGGCACACTTGACCTAGCCACACAGCTCATGAACTTAGCCAGCCAAAACGTTAACACCACCACCACTCCACACCCCTGACAAATATTTATTGAGTAAACTGTATATGCCTGAAAGGTATAGTTACCATAACCACTAAACAAGCAGGGATGGTGGTGATACACAACCCTCACAAATAGTTGTGTTAGCTCTTTATCTATTTTTTTTATAATGGGGGGGGGGGGCAACTGTGCTTATGGATTAACCATGCAAGTGAACTGCCCCTCAAGCTCGGTAAAATGATCATCCACTGTACTGTATTACTGTACAGTATATTTAATATCAACCCCATTTGTTGTAGTGTGTTAGTCTTTGTACAAACGTGGATAGTGATTTGTCTTTTATCTCCAGTTTCCTGATTATGGGTTAAATTGAGTGTTGTTGCTGCATCTGTTTTTGCTACATATCCTGGGAGTGTTGTACAGTACAATGCAGTACAGTATAACCTTTGAAAAATTTTCTCTACAAATTTAAGTAGAATGACTAAATGGGATTTAAAAAGTCTGGGGGGGATCCAGATGGCCATGGATTACTTTATGCAAGTCACTGAACAAAATTATACTCTGAGGGAGGATATAATTGTTCTGTACTGTATCCAGTATTTTTTTTAGTGATTAACTGTGATCAGATTTGTAGATTCCACTTACAATTATGTAACATAATTAAAATGATTTCTAGGAACAACTTGAATGGGTACAGACATTAGAGGTGTCTGTCAGTTTGTTTGGGTGATACTACAAGGTTGCGTATCCCACTTTGTGGTTACTGTATAGTAAGTGTTGATGTTAACTAATATTTTTCTTTCCACAGACTGATGTGATACTAACTAAATGTCTGGAACTGTGGAAGCTGGACTACAAGTGTATGGTATGTGGCCATGTACTGTACTGTAGTTCTCTATACAGTATTGTATCTTTGTCTTCATGTGTGTCTTGGTCTCTGGTTTCTGTCCCTATAACATTTATTGTGTAAGTCAGTATGTTACAAGGAGGTACAGTATTGGAAGGTTGCACATACATAACTTGGATAGCAATACAGTAAATCAACAATTTCAGCCTTGAATTGTCATCATGGTATTTAATGATTTGAAGTGAAAGAGGACTTTTTTTTTATGGAGTCCTGATGTACTGATGGTGGGCAACAAGTGCTTTAGAATATGGCTCAGATTACATCACAGACTTTGTACAGTACAATAATAAAGTTTCCAGAGTGCTTAGGTGAGCCCTGGATTATATGCTAGTTGCTACAGGGGCTTTTGCAGGGTAATACTAAACTTCCCAGTCAACTTGCTTTGCATTATAACAAAATAAACAGATGTGTTAATACTCCAACAGCATAAAAGAACATTTGTCCTCGCCTATGACTTTCAGGGAAGACATAGTTGGAGATTTTATGCACCAATAACTTGGGAATGGATTGATATGTCTTGTGGAAAAACTAGATACAATACATTACTGTACAGGAGGCCCCCAAATTCGCAGATTTTTATTTCGTGGTCGTCTGTTATTTGCGGATAACACTGGATGTACCCAAGAATTTGTCTACACACACACACAAATATACAATACAGGCAAAAGAAATAATTGTCCTGAGAGCAAACATAATGGGAATATACATTTCTTTGTAAACAAGTAAAAATGACCCCCCTACCTCCCTTGGGGGGGGGGAGGTGTCAGCAAATGTTATTTTATGTTATTTGCGGATTTGGCGATTCACGGCCATTTTGAGAACTTAACCCCTGTTAATTTGGGGGGCCCCCTGAACTTGACCCTTTTGTATGACTTTTTGGATGATGATTGTCTTGGGTAGAAAATAAGTTTGATTTTGCCTTTTATGAAGATGTGTTTATTTGAGGACACAGTTTGCTCTGTACGGTATTGGAAAGTATTTTTTTTCACAGGTTGTTCCTAATGGAGGAGGGGAGTTATGCAACAGTTATCCCAACAACTTAATCATCCCAGAGTGCGAGGTGGCACCAGAGGGGTTAGAACCCCCCGAGCTGTGTCCCCTCACCCTCACCTCGCCCTCACCTCTCAGCCTTGGTTCCCCATCTATCATTCCGGGAGGCAGTGCTCCCTCGTTCTCATCTGTGGTATCTGGTGGTGCACGCGCCTCGCTCTCCATTAATGGTCATCCTGCCTCGGCGTCGCCCTCTGTTAGAAAAGCTTCTTTACCGGGTAAGGATGTTACAGGTATTATATTTTCCTTTTTTTAGATAGAATACTGTAAGCATAAACTATCATCATCCTTGTTATCCCAGACTTTAGGCTTTTGCATTGGGTTATGTCCTCGTGTGTGTGTGTGTGAGATAATTAATAATAATAACAATAGTTAACGGTTTATTGAAAAAGTTCGGCAGCCCGAAGGCTGAAAATATGCATTGGACAAAAATGACTTATTACATACATGGGGTGGGTGGGTCGTTTTACAAAAGCTTTCATTGCTGAAAGAAGATGGAACAATGTTTGAACATACAAATTATTATAGTGTACAGTTGATGGCCTGGGCTGGTCATGGAGACACCAGGTGGTATGGTGTTCACCTGGTGTAGTAACTCGTCCTCAGGTATTGATATGAGGGACCTCACGTGGTCATGGAGACACCGGGTGGTGTGGTGTTCACGTGGTGTAGTAACTCGTCCTCGAGTGTTGATATGAAGGACCTCGCGTGGTCATGTAGACATTGGGTGGTGTGGTGTGGAGAAGGGAGAAATGGGAAAATCCTCTTACAAATAATTATCAAACTTGTCAAATTTTGAGGTGAAGCTCCAGCTATATAACACGTGCCTGCTGTCTGGGGGATGAGGGAGATGGGTGGGTTGGGGGGTGTGATGAGGGAAGGGGTGAGGGTTGGGGGTGGGAAGTGACGGGTGGCGTGGCGAGGGGGTGGGGTTGGGGTGTGGGAGGTGTGGGAAGTACTGGGTTGGGGAGCAAGGGTGGGAAGTGGGGGGTGGGGGTGTAGGAGGAGGGGTGAGGACTCGATCTCAAGGTGTTCTATACACTTAACTCATCATGTATTTTATCTAGGTTTGGTGGTGGTGTTGTGAGGTGTTAGTTTACTTTGATAACTACTAAGACTTTAAGACCGCTTCACTATGGGACCCCACTTATAACACCTTTACTTTGGGACAAAATGGATCGAAATGTAAAAAAAAATGTAAGAGTCTACATTGGATACATTTTGTTGTCTTGTTTGTGATTATTTATGAGAGAATTTTCCCATTATTTTTTATTTGCTTGTGGTTTGTGTATGTGTCTACACACACGTATATACAATACAGGTAAAAGAAATAATTGTCCTAAGGGCAAACACATAAAGGGAATATACATTTCTTTGTACACAAGTAAAAATGACCCCCCCACCCCCCCCCATCCGGCCAGCAAATGTTATTTGCGGTTTTGACAATTCGTGGCCATTTTGAGAACCAAACCCCCACGAATTTGATGGGCATGCTGTACAGTAGAACGTCGATTTAAAGCGACACCCACAATTAAGGACACTGTTTTAATTTAAAGCGAATCTTTCTTATCTTGCACGAGTCAATCTGGCGCATCATTTAAAATATTGCGCCTAATGTTTCTCTGGGCACGCTACATTGTCCTAATGGCAAAACTGTACTGTACATGTACTCAAAATAATGTACTAAAGGATTACCAAAATTTTTGTCTAGTGCAAACTATATTATGTTTATATTCAAATTAATCACTATCTTATAAGAATTCCAGCAACGTGAATTATATTCTCCCCGGTCACTTCTGTGACATTTTATAAGCAAAAAACATAAACTCAAGCAGCTAAAGGACATAAATAAACAAATAAATGCTTCACTAGACCTTCCGCCCCCCATCTTCCCAGCCAGGGTTTGGTGTTTTAGGCTTACAGTTTTTATCTTATATAATGTCACAGACTTAAGTTAGGAGAATATAATTTGTATTGCTGGAATCCTTGCAAGACAGCGAATAATTTGAATATAAACGTCATATATTTTGCACGAGATAAAACTTTTGCTCTGTAATAAAATTATTAAATTAGAACTAAAATTTGTGTCGATTGCGAGCTATAGCATGTTTATATTCAAATTAATCACTGTCTCATAAAAATTCCAGCAATGTTAATTATATTCTCCCATGTCAGTTCATTGACATTTTATAAGAGAAAAACTTAGTCACTCCTAAGGACAGATAAATAAATAAGCACTAGACCTTGGCATCAACTGTCAAACATACCACCTCACCTCCCCCCTCCCCCATCTTCCCAGCCAGTAAACAGACCATTTCTCATCCCTTAATTTAAGCTGTGTTGATTTATGAGTGTTTGTTTTAACATAATACTAGAAAAAACAATGTTTTGTTTATTCTAGGAGATGGGCTGAGGGTGCATCTGGGTAGACTCTCAGTCTTTTTAGTATTTTGTGTTTCTCTCAAGTACCAAACTAAATTATTCCATTGAAACAACACTTCGATTTAGTGCGAATTCAGTTTAAAGCGACCTCTCTTGGAACCTATCTCGTGTTATGTCGACTTCTACTGTGTTACATTTTACTGGGGTGGCCAGCCACCTCAGTAAAATATACGACACCTTTCTCTGGATTTGAGACATGTGCTCCAAGAACCAAGGATAGGTGGTAGTAACCATCTCCTGAGTACAGGATAGATGCCTCCTCCTGCTGTCCCTCAGACTAGGACACTTACCCAGTACTAGTTTTAAGATGTACATCAGACAACAAATGATGTGTAAAATAAATAAGTAAAACTGATAGTGTGTTATATATTATTGTCCATCAACAATATACTCGGTGAAAGTGAAGACTCCTGTTGCTGGTTTTGGTATTACAGTACAGGTACAGTATTTAGTAACAGGATAAAGTATCTGGTGAATAATACAGTACCCTGTATAGCCTTTGTGTAGGGAACTGAAGACTCTCTTATCAATGTTCAGTACAGTAATATTTTAATAGAAATATTATACTGTATAGGATATCCATCTGTTATATAACATCCTGAATTATATATGCAGTACAGCACTATAGTAAGATTATATTACAGTATAAGAGTAAAGTATATTCATTAGATAAGATTGTTACAGGAATATAATGATTCTGATACTGTAGTGTTTTATGTGTTCGCAGCAGATGGGAGCAAGAGTGTGGTGGATGGAACGACGGAAGCACAGAGTGACGGCATCAAGCTCAGGGAGTTCATTCTTAAGGCCAAATTTGCTCGTTGTCGAGCTAGATTTCCCGTCCCTACCATTTTGTATAAAGGAAATTATATCTGCAGGTTAGTGGTGGTGAGAGTTTGTTGGTGACCATACTGAATAAGGGTTATTTCTTAATGGATATTTCCAATTAATTGTTGTGACTGGTTTTACCGTGTATAGGCACAGCATGGCCTGACAATTCGCGGTCCTTAATTATTTGCGGATGACACCCCTGGATGTACCCAAGAATGTCTAAGGGTAGTTTTAAAGTTGCTGGTATTTTCACGGCCAGGACAGGGAGCCATTCATTCTAAAGACAGCAATTTCTTTTACTTGTATTGTGTGTAAATAATAATAATAAACGGTTTATTAATAGAGTTGCAGCCGATGGCTGAAAATATACAAACTTACATTTGATTTAGACATAATGATATGCGTTGAATACATTTACAGGGCTGTACAGTACATAAATCAGGAGTTGTTTATTATTTTAACAATAGATGGGATGGTGCTATTCTTATATCTATCAGAGCTGGCTCTTATATGCTGAATTTTGTTGTAGTGGCGGACTGCGCGAGGTGGCCGGGGGACTGCCTGTGGCAGGAGGTGGCGATGATGAGGATGGTGCAGTAGTCCACTGCCGAACCTTGCTAGTGCTTGGTGGTGGAGGTCACTGAGGGTTGGCATTTCCAGAGTGGAGAGAGCGTTGTTGTAGCCGGAGTAGTCTGCGCCGAGCATGATTGTGTGTGTGTGTAGACACATACACAAATCACATACAAATAAATAATAATGGGAAAAATCCTCTCACAAATAGTTAAAAACAAAACAAAATGTATCAAAATGACTTACATTTTTTCTACATTTCGATGCATTTTGTTGTCTTGTTTCAGATCATTTGTGGAGGATTTTTCCCATTATTGTTAATTTGTATGCGTTTTGAGTGTGTCTACACACACACACATACAGTATACTATATACAATACAGGTATAAGAAATAATTGTTCTAAAGGCAAACACATCAAGGGAATACAGTATACTGTATATTTCATTGCACACAGGTAAAAATGTCCCCCCTTCCCACTCCCGTCAGCAAATGATAGTCGCGGATTTGGCGATTCGCAGCCATTTTGAGACCCAAACCCAATCAAATTTTAAGGTTCCATGCTGTATTAAGTAAAGCATAGGAACAAGTACAGTGGTCCCTCGGTTAATGAATGGTTCAATTAACAAAATTTTGGGTAACAAATTAGCTCCCATAAGGATTTTCAGTTCCCTTAATGAACAAAACTTTGATTAACGACAGCCTTACGAGAAACACGCTTTGTTGTGTGCATCAGCTGATCAGCTGATCGTCTAGTCCGCCACTACAGTACTTGGTTTTATGTTTATATTCGTTTCCAATGGAGTAAATATCAAGAAAGTTGTGCTCTTGAATATTTTTGCATTTATTATATTAAATTTATTGGTTATTCTGAAATTTAGTTAACATATTGATAATATATACTGGACAGTACAGGGAACAGTTTTTGTGTGCCCTTCAGCTGATCGAATCACCCAGCAACGCTTCTCAGTTTAACTTTGTATACATTGGAGGGAAGTATGAGGAATACAAGATATGTTAATGGACACTCTTATTAGTCCTTGTCCTTTCTCCAACACCTTAGTTATAGCCAAGTACAATTTGGATTCTCTTCCTTTTAAGGTCTGCCACGTTGTCAGGAGGTCCGGAGATGTATGGGCGCTCTGGTATAGAATATCTCTTTGCTACGGCTGCTTCAAATAAAGCTGATGAAGATGATGATGAAGATGAGGTAAAATGTTGAATAATATTTTGTCTGAGAAGCAAGAGATCCTCAAATTTGTCTTCCCCTTAGTAGAATTTAGACTTTTGAGAAAATTTTTCCAAGTGCAGGCATTCATGATTTACTTATATTCAATTTATGAAAAAAGATTGTCCCATGACTTGATTTATGAAATAAAAATTAAAGTTACCCCAAAAAAAAATATATAAATATATCCATTTATGCAAGTAAATCACTGTAGTTGTGCGTGATCCAGGTATATGCTGATAACCACAAGGAAAGAAGAACTTCGTGTTTTCTTCTTTCCTTGTGGACAAGTGGTTTGAGTGTAACAACCACGAATTCCTACTTCACGGTGCCATCCGTATTTCTCAAGAATCTGGTACACATCATCATGCACAAATTCCCCTAGCTTGACCTTTTTGCCAGTCTTTACGAGGTAATATTTGTAGGAGTTGAGTACACTTACATCAGCCAAATGGAAAAACAGTTTCTTGCACCATTTTACAGATTTCCGCATGGATTCAATATTACCGATTTGTATGCCACTCTTGTCAACTAAGCACATGTTCCATGTGTTCACAATCATGGTATGAGGCTTAACGATTGTGTTCCCAACCTTGTAGTCGATCTTCTTGGAATCAATCTTCTCTCCCATATGTACATTTGTTAGCATTGTCACTTCTCTTTTGTCCTTCCACATGAACCAGTGTTAACATGTAAAAATATACAGTACACAGGTCTGGGCTAGAGTATCGATTACCTGTAAACAAGATGTGCCCTTTCCCAAGATAAGGTTCCATCATCTTTTTTATAATTGTAATGGAAATACCAGTCTTATTATCATGAGGAATATCAGTTGTAGCTCCAGTGTACTCAATAAGATCAAGCACAATTCCCGTCTCGGTCGCATAAAATAAACACCAATTCCAAAGCGATGATGTTTGCTTGGAATGTATTGCTCGAATGCAAGACGACCTTTGAACAAGACAAGAGGCTCGTCAGTTACCAAGTTCTGGAATGGTAAAAATAGGCCTTTCATCATGGTTTTTCAATGCAGTAAACAATGGTCTAGTTTTGGACAACGGGTCACTATGGTCCATGGTGGTGGTGTTGGCAAAGTGAAGATATTTTAATAGCAGCTTGAACCTGTCACGAGACATGTACTTGCCGAACACAGGTGTTGTGGATAGAATGTCATTGGACCAGTACCCAACCATTGTGCTTTTGTTTTTTATAGTGGCATCAACTAATGCAAGAAACATGAACATTTCAGCTACAGTGGTGTCTTTCCAGTGCTGTACTAATGAACTGATCAATTCCTCCTTAAAAAACATACAAAAATAATCCAAGTAATTGTTATCTTCATCCACATTTGCAACTGCAGTAATACCCTTGTGTGAGGTATAAAAAACAAAGTATATGGCACATAATTCTGGTAATTTGCCACACATAGTCACTAGCTGGTACAGGTTGTGGTGTGCGAGTAGATGCACGTTGATGTGGGGAAACCTGTCTCTTCCCACACACTTGTGGGCCCCTGTGTTTTCTTAGCACGAGGTTGTCTGTTGTGGAGCAGCAGGTGCAGGCCTTGACAGCGTGGTTGGGGTGGGTGAGGCAGCATCCCTTGTGCGTGGGTTGCTGCAGCGACTCCACATCTCCCCACTCAACTGTCCATATCACCTATGTCACTCTCTTCTTCACTGGAGAGCACAGAATCTTCACTTTCTGAATATTTATCACTTGGAAATGGCTGCCAATGTATTTCATGTGAAGTTAATCTCTGTGGCTTGGAGGGGCTTGGGACCTGGAGTTGTAAGTGGGTAATCCTGAGAAGTAGACTCAACCTTCCGCCATAGTGACAACTGTTATACTGATGATTTGCTTAAGATGCGGTCAAGGCAAAGTGTAGGTTAGCGGGGATGAGCTATTGCCACAATAATAGTCACTCTACTCACGCGGGGGAAAAATAGTGGTGGTAGATTGACGACATCAGACCCTACTACGTCGGGCGCTCTGGGGTGACGTCAGACCTTTAGGGGTTAAGTTTCAGTGCGTCCTAAACCCTGTATTTCTCCATCACCGTGCCTTGTTCGGGATCATAAGCTTTTAAAAAAGAAAGATCTTAAGTTGTTTTTTATTGATGTTAGCTCAGTGTTTCATACTGTTCACTTTGTTTCATACAGTATCTCATCTGGTGTCACATGAGTACTGTACAGGTATAAACTCACACCTTCAGTACTTCATGTATTTCACTATGTTTATTATTTGCTTGTAATCATTGTGTATACCAAAAATATTTTTTAATATATCTTGGCTTTTACAGTCAGTCTATGGGAAAATGATCTGATTTATGAAGGGGTTTTGAGGAATGGATCCCTTTCATAAATGGGGGAAGGCCTCTCCTGTACTGTCCCATTTCTTTACTCCACATATCATAGCTAAATTGTTTGTGAATGATCAAAGCTTTTACGGAATAATAGCTCATTACTGTAGTTTGAAATTTAAAAAGATTAAAAATTTCTTAAAATGTCACCTTTAGAATTTAAGTATAAAAAATTGGTGCATTTGTGGTGCCAGATAAGTTATTTTTGGTCGTACAATAAGCAGCCATGCTTGAAATAGGAGTTTTTCCATTCTCCTTTTTACTTTGTATTTATAGTTATACATACTTGATTTTGTACATCATCTCTTTAACAAGGTACTATATTTTTGTTTCTCTTCAGGTGACACAGACAAACAGTGATTGGCAACTGTTTGACCGTGTGAGATCCCAGGACATCAGACTGTTAAGGGCGTGTAATGTAGGTGTGATAGTAGACCTCATGGTGGAGAAAAAGAAAGTCAAGTTTGGTATGTAGTAAGTATAGATCTAAACTCTTCCTTTGATTTTATTTACAAATTTCTTTGCATCATTGCCCTGAGATTGAGCAGTGTGTGGATGTCCTACTACTGACATAAATCTGGGATTCTCTTATTCTTGTATGGTTCTGGGAAGGAACTTTATTCATGGGCATTTTCTCATTGATAATTGTAAATTTTTCAGTATTTGTATCATTTGGTCTGCTTTAAGGATAGAATAAGTTAAAGTAGACCCCCGGTATAATGTGAATGGGAAATGTGGGGTACAGGACCGCAACCCAGAACCTTAGCCAGGCATTTTTGTGCCTTGGGCAGGTTTCAGGAATGTTGCCCCCTTCTTTATTTCTTGGTGTAACATATACTGATTCAGCTGTTTGGCTACAGACATACCGGAATTGTTTTGAAAAATAACCAGCTTTTTCCTGAGAGGAAGACAAACAATAAGAGATGAAATTATTGGGATAAAAACAACAGGTTTGGGAGGAAATGGAAAGTTACTACACGAGAGAACCAGTTGAGGGTGAAGACTGGGGGAGGAGGTAGGTGGCAGGAAATAAAGGAGCGAGTGATTTTGATAACCTCCCTGATGACGCAACAGCTTAAGTCATATGCCGCCAAATTAAACTAAAAGCTTAGAAGGCAAAAAACAACAAATAATGCAAGGTAAAAACATAAATAATAAATAGCATAAAACTTTCATAAAAACCATTTAAACAATAATAGATAAAACTCGAAGCTTATGTGAAAAAGGATGGGTACAGTGTAAAGGAACTGCCTAGTGTGAGCCGACTGGTTTACTGCAGTCTCCTTTTTTTCTGGTGTTATGTTCTTATCCCTGGCATACATTTTCTTATGGTTAAATGAGGTCAATTTGACTTGCATAGTGTCTTTCTGGGGGTGAATTCTGGGAGGAAGGGATAGATTCAGGAAACTCCCAGAGTATACTCTGGGGTATAAACCAGAAACTACCCAGGGATAGATTCTGGGAAGGAGGTAGATTTTCAGACTTTACACACCAGAGCTAAATGTTCAATCAAGGACATTGGAGAATGTATGGCAATGTGTACCTCCAACTTCTACTGTTTTCTTCACGACAATTGACTTGCAACCCTTTGATTGATCAAATTAGGAAGTTATGCTAGATGTACCAGAATCTTGCACCTGGGAGCTAGTTTTCATGTTTTTCTGGGCGTGAGAATGGTTGACCAAGTGTGTGTGGTGTACCCTAACTTTCTTCTTGCAATAATGACAGAGCTACTGTGTTGTCGCCTTGTACACGTTGAACCCAGTTTCTCAATACATGTACTGTGTTTTGTCACTCTGTACCTTCTGATAGGACTGTCAGCATTTTGCCCACTTGCCCATGATGTAATTATAATAGAAACAAAATGTGTATTTAGACAGTAAATAATTTGCCCTCATATTACATCCTAATAGTCTTGGAGATTTAGGATTTTATCTGTAACCTGACAAAAATGGAGCAGTGTTCTCTTAATACCTACACAGTGACAATTAAGTGCTTATCCCTGATAGCTGGTGTGCAGCAACACACACACACTCACTCTGAGAGGGTGCTGGTATTTTCTCTGAAAGGGACTTTTGGTTCTAAGGGAGTTAATGGATTTTACATATCAATTTTGCACGGACAAATAAATGGTTTTGTGCTAGTAATGATATTCGGTAATATAGTACAGTATTATTTTTCTCTTCTTCCCGCGTAAAGAGAGATTTTTTCATTACAGTGTAACCTCTTCAGAAAAGGTTGACAAAGAGAACAGGTACAGTGACTTCAGCATCCTATCATTACCTTATCCTGGCTGTGAGTTCTTCAAGGATTTCCGAGACCTGGGTTATACTGGAGAAGGGCTGTACTTCAACTGGAGTCAGCCATTTGTTGATGCCCAGTTGGTTATTCCTGAGAGAACCATGTCTGCCAAGGTGACCTCCGATTGGAATAGTTATCGGGTAAGGGAGAATTGCTGCTCCACCGTGTATTAATTTAGATTGTTTTGATGGGAAATATAGATTTTGTGGAAATATGAATTCATTTGGAAAACTTGTACATGTTTTCTGGATGATGCAGTTCTAATGATCAATTCTCATGGAACAGAAATGGGACCTGTTGAGACTGAGCCAGAACTACCTGAAGTTGTTATTAACGTACTCACACGAAGGATCACAAGGTATACTTGTCCACTGTATATCTGGCTGGGACCGCACCCCACTCTTTATATCCCTGCTAAGACTCTCACTCTGGGCAGATGGATTGATACACTCCTCTCTAGACCATGCTCAGGTGAGTTCAGATGTGTGTGTTTTGTCAGTCAGTGTCTTCTTAATGTACATCCTGTTAACGTACAGTGTTTCAGGAATGCATCGTATACATTGAGTAGGCACTGACAGTATTGCAGTAGGTTTAAATTTTGGATTATTTGACCAAAATATTTAGTGCAACTTCCTGATGTTGTGTTGTAAAGAAGTGTTGAGGCTACAATAGAACATTTGTTGTGGTAGCTAGAGGGAGGGCTGGTGTTGCTCTTGATTATGGCCACCCCTGCATCATGGGAGAAAGAGATTTAGAAGATTAAAAAGAGAATAAATGGGGATCATATGAAGATTAGCCCCCAGTTTAATTTACTTGATTATACACCCTAATGGGAACCTGGTTGGGGTTAGGTTATGTTAGCTTCGTATGGTTAATCTTCAGATGACCAAAACACAAAAATAGGTTGTCAGGGTACAGCTGTCATCATTTGTACATGAAGTTAATAAACATTTTTTTAGCCAAGCCATAATTTACACTTGAGTCATGTAAGTGCTTCTCCCTCACCAGATCCTGTATCTCACTATTGCCTACGACTGGATGGTGTTTGGTCATGATCTTCAGGACCGCTTGAGCAAAGGAGAAGAAATATTCTTCTTCTGTTTTTATTTCCTCAAATATATCACCTCAGATGACTTCAGTGTAGGGAGAAAGTAAGTTTTTTTTTTTTTAAGAAACCATTTGTTTTATTTCTGAAGGTCATAGAAGGAGTGTGATAAGAAGTTGAGTGCAGAGTATGTGGAACATATGCTTGTTCTGCTCAAGTGACTTGAAATTTACTTGCCCAGATATTTGTTTACTTGCCCTGACAATTTTTTTGAAGGATCTATGCTTGCCTGGATTTTTTTTAATGGGAAAACTTAGGTAACACCATAAAATATTCAAATCTGTTGTGTATAACAACTCCTAGATCACTTATGTCCATCTAAGTGGTGTCAGTGGAGGTAACATTAGTCATGTGAGGTCATAACTCACCTCACACCTGCAGGGTGTGTGGGGAGGCAGAGGCAACACCTGTGATTACCTACTTTAACTACCACCACCCCCTTCCATTATCTGGTATCAGTGACAGTAACACTTGTCATGTGAGGTCATAACTCCTGTCACCCCACATCTACAGCCTCTCACCTTGGTGGTTCCTTTAAAATGTTGACAAGTTGACCAACTAACTAGAGGAAGGTTGGTGGCTTAATGTAGAGGTAAATTACCTGCACCTGACATAGGTCACTTATCCTGGTACTCTGATGACCTGCCTGGTTAATCATGTATGGGGAGGCAGGGTCACGCAGCACTTGGCAAATTCTCGTCTTGGTATTTACGTAAAAATATTAGCTTGTCTACCAGGCAAGTGCCGGGCACATGGTCGTGAACAATACCTGCTTGGCCCCTAGTTAAGGCGTGCTGGCTGCCAGGCGCTGCAAATCTGCACAGCCTGGTTGAGAGATAGATGGAGTATGACTGGGAATTAATAGATAGATGGAGCATGACTGAAAGGTGTTTTCCTAAGTTAATAGGTCAGACTGTCACATGTACAGTATAACTTTTTGTAAGGTTAAGGGAAGTGTGTGGTCAATGCAGTGTTTTATTTGTCTTCCATGTGTTCAAATCAGTGTGTTGTTAGATCAGTTAATAATATTATTTTTAAATTTTTAAGATTTCTATGGTTATTATTTTTATTTATGCAGTAATAATACACTAAGAGTATCAGGAATCTGAAAATTAATTGTTGGAAATAATCAATTAGGCATCTAAAGTGTTTTCAAAACCAAAATTCCCATCAGATCTCATCAGATGAGACCCAGCCTGGGTTGGTTGACTGATGATGCAGTGTTTCCAGCACAAAAGGATGTCCACATGTGTCCTTGTTTGGTTCCTGGATGTGAGCTGGTACAGTACAGTATCACACATGCTGCTCACATTACTCTTTCATTACTTAAAAAGTATTGTGGATTCTAATCAGGTGTACTGCCCTTAACCCTCTGGTATGCCTGGCCATGGTCGGAAATCTTGCCCTCTCAGAGTCTTTTGATGCAGGTTGCATTGGTAACGGGAGCTGATTCTCCATTTTAGTCAACATTGGGTAGAGCGATCCAGACCAAGATTGCACCCTTAGAGATGCATCTGCCAGCCCATGAGGCTAGTGGGAGGAACTTCCGTGGTTGATAGGGCCGGTCTACTGTTGCTTCGTTTCTTCTTATGGGAGTGTTGCTCTCAGTGTGAGATACGACTGAGCGGAGGGGTCACACCAGCACGGGAACGTTTAGCAACGCAATGTGTCAAAAGATTACGAGAGGGTTAGAATGTCACAGGAACATACAAAAAGTGGTGGTACTGACTGTAGCAGTGCAAAAAGAAAACAAAGTTAAATATGAGTTGTGTCGCGGTTTTGTCCGAAGATTAAATATAACTCGTGAAACATTATCAGAGCCCTACCACAAGGCAGAGAGCACCAAAAGTTTAGCCCTTCGGCATATGTTTTCACCAAACCTCATGACACGACTTTTGTCTTTCATTGTACATATAAAGAAATATTTATATTTGCACTGTAATAATAAATAGACCATGATCAGAAAAATCCAGCGTTACCCAAGCGGTTGGTCTTCCCACCCACACACCATCCATATGAGGATGTGGCTAAACATGGTGCAGTCTTTCCTAATATCAGGAACCCTTGTCCCAAGGCCCAGAGCAAAAAGGTTTGGAGTGATTTTCTTGCAATTTTCTTAGATTTTCTGGTAATTGCGTGTTATTTAATAATCTATATTTGCTCCTAGACCCAGAAATAAAAATTTGGACAGATATTCGAGATTTATTTTTTATTTTTTGAAGTTTTCAGAAAATGTCCCTGATTTTCAACATTCAAATTTGTTCCCAAACCTGGAATTTAGGGAATTTTCTGGAAAAATTCTGAGCAAATTTCAGTTCCGGCTATTGGAGAGTTCCGGGTTTGAGGGATTGTCTAATGGAGTTATTACTGTATATTTGAGTACAAATCTAGTACTGTACTGTAATATGCTGCTCAAAATTATGGCTTTTACACAGGGAAAAGCCTGTATAACTGACCCCAGTGATCAGGATATTATGGCATTGAATGTTAGAGTATTTCAAATAAATCCTTTGTTTAGTTCTGTACATATACCGGGTATGCAAATTCCCATATAGGGAATGGCATGAAGGGAGGGCCTCGGGGTCCAGTGTACAGTAAGCGTGGGCCATAACACTAACACTGTCATAAAGAGGTCCAGGTGAGCCTGGGCTGGATTTATGATGATGTCAGTTGTATTGGTAATAGTACATTTTATGCATTATTTTGCCTTTTTTAACCTCGGCTTCGATGGTTCGGAATTTTCGCTAATCTGGAACCGGTCTGGTCCCAAGCTTCCCAGATTAACGAGGTCCAACCTGTATTATTATTATGTTTTTTAATTGTACTTGCTATTATTTTCTATTTTAAAGGTCAAACATGCCATTGTTGTGTTTCACAATGTCTTCCTTGAGGGAACTTGATACTTGAGGTGTTGGTCTTGTGATTCAGTCACTTCAGGTGGTCAAGATACTTTCTAAAACACTTGTTGAAGAATTTCCTTATTGGTTTGGCCTTTTAAAACACTGTTGAGGAGATGGTTTATAACCAATATGAGAATTTTAATGTCCTTTTGCTTCGCCAGGCAGAGGCACAGGCACACTGGAGTGATATTGTAATTGATGGTTATACCACCAGCAGTACTTGGTCAAAATTTATTGTATTTGAGTGAAAGATCTTAATTTCTCCTTCAGTTATTAAATAATATTTTGGCCTGCATGATGAAACACTGCATTTTGCTATTCTCACTACCGGTATTTGCTCAAGTACATCCTGACCATCTTAGAAATTTATCTCTCAGTCTTACTCAATTTCCAACATAAACTGTTGGAAGAGATTAATATTTTGCTTTAAGCAAATTCCAAAACTAATGGTTACTTTTCCCTTTCAGACGACACTTGTCAAATGACAGCTCAAGTTCTGAAAGACTGGACTGCTGTGTGCTGCTTGATGCTGATGGCTTGAGCTCAGCAGGATCATCCAACTCCCTTAACTCGTCTTGCTCTTCAAATCGGTCATCTCACCATGCTCCTCCTGTGTATTTTAAGGCAGGGAAGAGTGGGGAAAGCTCTGACAGTTACAATGCACATTTGACGTGGCCCTATGGGAGCTTTACGGGGGAACTTGACTTTGATGATATGTCTCCGAACCTTAGTCGGACATCATCCACTTCAACACCAAATAGGGGGTCTTTTGGTAGGCCTTGTTATAGGGATGCAGATATGTCAGGGGCCACGAGTGATGGAAAGTTATCAGTGCGGCATGGAACCGTAGCGGGAAATCTCTCGCGAACATCTAGCGGATCGCTTAAAAATGGTAGCTCACATGCTTCACTTCTTGATGCAAGTAAACCTGTCATATGTTCACATAGATCAAGGAATGGCCACAGTGATTCTAGTGGTGAAAGTGTTGCAGGATCAGATCATGGATCATGGGGTAATGGGTGTCAGGAGCCTCCTCATGCTTCTACCAGTCCCATGGCTGTTCCCGTTCCTCGTGGGCGGCCAGCACCGAGGACAAGACAAGAGTCGGTCAGTTCTGTGGGGAGTTGGCAGCTCATCTCTGGAACAGGCAGCCTCCGTGGATCAACAGGGTCGGGTGGTAACCCGGGCTCGGCAAATTCTCGCAGCTCTCGTACCTCTGTGTAAGCACGTTTTTTTATCTTTCTTTATATTTTAATTCCTAACGTTTCTTCTGTATATATGTGACTACAAATCTGCATATATACTCCAAAGAAGTCCCAGCCACCTTTTGGTTTGTTATTTTTAATAGCAAAAACTTTTATTTGCTGTTACTCATAAAGAACTGATTTATATCTTCTGCTTCTTTGCATGCTGGATAACAGGGCACCTCACTCAGAAACATGTCCATACTAAACCCCTTAAAATTTTTGTGGGTTCCTCTATTGATACACTTTTCAAAGGCTTTTTAAATTTTTCTTGAAGTTGGCCATCTGGTTCTGGACTCCACTTTGAGTTTGTTTTAGGGGCTAGTCTGTGCTCCCCTACCTGGTATTTGACCAGACTTTCTTCATTGTCATCTGATTATCCAGAAGTTATGTACATCTGGTGAATTAGTTTGTTTGCAGTGTATGGGATTGCAATATGTGCTATTGTTTTGGTACCGACTCTCCTCAAACATGGTCAGAGTAAAAGTACTATAGATCATTATTCAAGGATGAAATTCATCTTCTTGGATGTGACTTGTCATATTGCATTTAGAGCTTACTTTTTATGGACGAACATTGAAAAGGGGCCGTGGATACCTCTGACTGCCAGTGATAAGTGTATCCAGTTGTTTCTACACGTATTAATTTTCTTTCATTTCAGACCATCATCAGACCTGGTGGACTCTGCAACAACCATAAAGGAAGAGGAGGGGAGCTTAGAGTCAGAGCAGAGCATTATAGTCTTTAACAGAGCTGAGAGGCTTGCTAAGGTAATAATATCTCTGCCATGTAGTTTTTCAGTATGCACATTCGGCCATTTATTTAAGCACTCAGATTAGTAAAAGCCAATCTTAACACTGATGCTTGATTTTTCATTTTTTTTTAACTTGGTTTACGCTGAGTCAGGGACAATCAATACCAATTATTAATAGGAAAATTACTTGACATGTACCCCCTCCTTTAGGGCCAAAAAAAGACAACTAAGAACTGGAAATGTACTTCCTAAGGGTTACTGGTAATATCCCCGTTAGCCGGAACACTGTGTCTGATCCCTGAGATATGCTAGGGACAATCAGTTGGTTGAAAATGTTTAAAGGAGGGCCACCAGACTGGTGCCTGCACTTTGGCCCTTCAACTACCCTGAGAGACTAGAATGCCTGAACTTGCCTAGCATATACTACAGACAGGCAAGGGGTGACCTAATTGAGGTGTATAAGCATCTCAGGGGCACTACTCAGTCGAGTGTCCTTACCTGGAGCTGGCAGACTCTCGCCCCACAAGGGGTCACGGCTCAAGATTGAAGAAGCCGCAGGTCCAGATAACTGTGAGGGCAAACTTTTTCGGAGTGAGAGCTGTGAACTCTTGGAACAATCTACCAGAGAGTGTTGTGACGGCACCGAGTGTGAGCTCTTTCAAGACCAGACTTGACCAACACTGGAGCGGATTCAGGTACATTTAGGAGCCGGTGCATGCCCAGTACTTGCCAACAGTGCATAACAGAGACGTGATCGATCGCCCAAGTGGCTAGCGAACCGATCAGTGGTGAAGAGGATAAACGTAAGTAAAAAAGTAATTGGTGTTGAGCACTTCCTGGGATGAGAGATTTCCGGCTAACCAGGTGACTATCTCAAACCCGGAAAAATCCCCCATCCCTGGAAATATTTCCGGTTACTGGAAATACTTTCCGAGAGTCTAAGCTATGCATCTTGCACAGACAAACACTTGCTCACATCCTCAGAATGTTCGTGTGCAGCAGAGTTTCCAAGAGTCTAAACTACCGGAGTCTGTAAAAGCAGTTCTAATCAAGTTAGAAACTCCATTTGTTAACTAAAATAATCCAGAATACAGTAGTTTATCTTAGTTTGGTTAAATAAATATATTTAAAGACTAAAAATCTATATTATATGGTCGTGAATGAAGCGGTGTGTTACAGCAAAGACTAATTACTCAATATCCCATTGAAATAATAGATTCAGTTGACGAACGACTCTGTGCTACCAATTGTGTTTGTTAATTGAGAGACCACTGTACTGTAATATGGAGACTAGTGCAAGAAATTATGTAGAAAGTCACTGGAAAAGGCTAGAACATACCACAATGGATTTTCCATCAGCTTAACTATAAGCCAACACAACTGGCTCAATTAAAGCAATATTAAAGCTTCTAATATTGTTAGATGGAAATGTACTGTAATTATTGAAATAGTTTGAACATGCTTGGTATGGAGAATGTAGCTTCAGCATTGGTGTTCTGAAGAAAAAAAATGCTCCAGGTGTTGGAGTGAAGATTTATATGAAGCAGTCCAAGATGCTGTTGTCTATATAATGAATTGTTAGTCATGTGTAGATAAAGAAATAAGAACTCTTTATTGATAAATACGTGTACAATGTACTGTACTTGGAGCAGATGTGTTAGCTAATGTTATTTTACATTTCCAGGTGCGGTCTCTTTTCTACAACATCTACGTCACCACAATAGGGTTCAACTTCTCTAATGGACGTAATGAATCTGGTTTAGGTACCCTAGTCTCTAACTTTGCTCAAAAGGTTGGCATCAAACCAATGTCTTGTCGAAACACACAGTAGTGTAGTGGTATAGTGTAGTTGTATCAGATTAGAAATTGTTGGACTAATTCCAGTAGACCTGATGGTAATTTAACATATTTGCCAAAATTGCATGAAAATTATGTAGTTGACAACCTGTCAATGGTGAAAACTCTGCTGTTTATCATGGAGCCTCTGTTTTTTTTAAATATAGTATGATAAATATTAGTCTACAAGTTTACATGGGTATTTTATCATCTGCAGTCTTTTTATATTACAGATTTATCAAGTGCAAGTGCTTTTGTACCTATTATAGCATTTATAATTATGAAAGTGAAATTAAAAAAAAAATGCTCAACTAGGTGGGACTTACAGGGCTTATTGATCATTTTACAACAAAGAGCAATTCTAGAAGAAAAATTTTTGTGTATGTATTTTTTGACATAAGAGATACTTATTGTCCCATGGGTATCAGTTTTTAATAGTGGGTCAGCACTCTTTGCTTACAAAACCAGATGGTTCATGGGTGTTCATTAATTTTGATGAAATATTGAATTAAATTATGTTGCTGTTGTATAGAGATGTTAAAGCAATATTTTCACAAATATTGTGTTCCATAGCTACCGTATTTCACGTGTGTAAATGTGATCAGTAATATTACATGGATTAACATTTGTTTTAGAATGGTTATCCTTACATGACAATATATTTTTTGTCTTTATATTGTTGTATATATGTTAACAGATACACATTTTTATTTAGAGTCAAGATCTCTTGTCTAAGAATATAATGTTGATGTTTAACTCATTAATATCTTAAGATTTAAATATTTATGAAAACTGTATTTGGACTGAGTATTCATTGATGCAAGATTTTCGATTGTTGTATTTTTGTTACTTAACTTTTCTGCCAAATGTGATTGTAAATATTTGGCTCTCAATCAGTCTGATCAGGGGGACTTCCTAATAGGACGTTGTCCAAGTCATTCATGAACAGCCTCCATGCATAAATAGCTGTAAATATTTCTTCCACATATGGCACAAGTTTGAGGTACCCAGAGTATCATGATCATATCAAACATTTGGCAAGTTATCAATGTTTGGCTTGCAGCCATTTTATGATTAACCCTTTAGAGGGCAGGGGGTTTCTCTCAGCTGAATAAAATCATCTGGCATTAACCAGAATAAAATACCGAAGTGTGGAGCTGCCTTCCAAAGGGTCATACTTAGAAGGCGAGAATACTCTCCAAAATGGAGGATAAAGAACTTTTTGCCGCACTATCATTTTTAACCCATTTCAAAATTTTAATTATTTACAAATGTTTGTACATACAGTATAGACAAAACCTGTTACAAATATGGAAGAAATTGGTGTAGCTTCTATTGCACGGTGATTGGGGACACTCGCACATTACTTGTTCTGGGAGGAAGTTGGGAGAATTCTCTATCACTTTATACTTGCAAAGATGTACAGTATGTTAATATAGTTTTTACATCTCTGTTTGCAGGATCCATTTGTCTATAAAACCTAATATTTAACTAGCAACCTTAATTAGTGAGAAATTATTTATTTATATTGTTTTGCTAATAATTTTGGGCTGTTTATATACATTACAATTTAATTAATCAACCAAAGACATCTTTACAAAAGTTTAATTATTTAATTTTTCATTTTAAAAATCCTAAAATGTTCCCATTAGTATACTTGTACTGCTCCTTCCTTCAGTTGTGGAGCTCGAGAGTTGAAAAGATTTGGTTGACTATATCTGAATTAAGAATTCACTTGTTCCATTTGTCAAAAATTTTAATAAGATTATATTGACAGGGTAGTGTATTTTAATATTTCCATGAGTAACAACTTGGACAAGTGGTTGCTTGTCCAGGGTGAATATACTGTTGTTAAGGGTCTGCTCTGTTGTACAATTCTCTAACATATGTTTCAAATGTTGCTTTAAAGTTTTTTTTTCACTTAAAGGTGTGGAGTTGGTGAATGTCTTGAAATATCTAAGGAAAATTCTACGTCTGGCCACCTCTTTAGTCCTGGGGGCCACAAGTTGTTTTTTTTTTAAATCAATTTTCACCCAACCAAGAGCAAGGATCCAGGAAAATGAAGTGATGGCCACTGCCATAGACTCTGTATTTGCCTTAATACAGTTTTCCATTGTTCTGTGTGATAAAATAATAAAACTGTTGCTTTAATTGGTTGAACATATTCAATTTAATGAAGTCACTTTACTGTGAATAGGGTAAAGAAAATTTGGCCAATATTTTAGCCAACCTTTTACAATTATGTAGAAGAAGATGTCTGGCATGTTGAACATTTTAGAAATTGTTAAAACTTTGTCTAAGCATGTTGGCAATACTCCTCTTTTTTTTTTTTAATTGCTTCCTGAAATTTTGTGGTCCAGAAGTTCTACTTGATGCAATACCCAATAAGCTGCAGTTTTCACTTGGATTAGTTATTTGTTACATCAAATATTGATGTGGATTGAATATTCTATTCTTGTAATGAGTATTGTATATATGTAATTATTACCTAAAACAAAAGTCCAACTACCCTCTTCATTTTAAGTTTCATCAGAACCAAACATCTTGGCTTCATGCATGGAAGATTTAGCATGTATCATACAGGTACAGCAATTGTTTTGGTCCAAAAACAAATGGCTACTGCTGCCAATAAGGTATTACTGTACTAGTCCCCTACCAAGCACTGCCACTATTTGTTTAATTATAGTAATGTCTTTAGCCGAGTTCTTTTAAGTAATTTAAATTTTTTAACCCATGAAATCGGTAATTTTTAATGCGTGCACTTCGGTTATCCAGAATTCAATTGGACATCGTACTGTACTGTATATGATTTTGTATCCATTTTTGTTTTAGGGGATGAATTGTAAAATGAAATGCAGATTTGTAAATAAAATTAAACTTTCCTTAAATACACTTTCATGTTCAACCAATTTTACCTACCATTTTTAGTTAAGAAATCATCCGTATATCTCGGTGATCAATACTGCCCTGTATTCTTCACAGCATAAGTATTTTTACACCCCAGACACGAGGGGTTTTGTCATCATTCAGGATGTGGATCTGTCGGCATGGTGTATGTACAGGCAATCGACGATTTGCTAAGGTTTGGTTTATGAAAATTCGAAAATGTAAAAAAAAAAAAAAAAAATCCATGATTCCATTCACAAATGATAAATTTAAAGGTTAAGATTTTTCCTCGCTATTTAATTTTTTTTCAGTCAATGCTAACATATTTTACTAACTTCATACGGTAATTCTCGAACACTCCCAATTTTAAATCTACAAATAACATCCAATGTGTCATCATCCTCCTTATGATCACCATAAACAGTGGAGTCACGATATTTCGTGAAATACAAATTCACAGGTACAGTATCTAAAAAAAAGTATCTGCCAGGATGGGTTCAACATTTTCCAAAATGTTACAGCAACATGTGATGTACCTGGAGGGGTTATGTGGGCTCTCAGGTATATTGGTCTTACTACATTTGGTAACCGAACATCGTCATAATTACGCTGAAATAAATACACATTGCATTACAGTAGGCTCTCGTGAATAACGTTTAATAGGTACCTGAAAAACACCGTTATTAGCGAAAACGTTATTTGTGACATTAGAATACATGTAAAAAGGGTTTATTGGTGCTGCTGCCACAAGAATTTCACCCATTTTTTCCCCTTGAAGCCCTCCTAACACTTTTTGTTAGCTGAAATAAAAAGAATTGCTATTCAATCAATCAAAATAAAGAGTGAGTAATATAACACTTAGTTTTTGAGGTGCTTGGTGTGATGATTGTTCCGTATCTAAGGGCCGCTAGCACTTGCACTGTCTTTCATTCTACAAGCTAACCATTTCACAAGAAAATGCTGTTATCACTAACAACCTGTTTCTATCGCCTTTATCATTCATAGCTCGCCTCGCATTTCCATCACTACCAAAATATTTTTAGCCAGCACAATACTCTTCTTGGTCTCCTATAAGTTCCTCTTAATATTTCGCACTGTAGACTCAGGACAGTTCAATTTCCTCACTTTAAAAGTTCCCAGTCATTCAGGTGGCAAATCACTCCCTCCACCACCTCCCCTAGCCCCCACGGGCAAAAATGCAGAAGCCATTATTGATCACCGACCCTAACAACCACTGGTTATAGTGGCGAAAATCTCACACGGGGGCGCAGCTCTGTATTCCACGGAGCGTGTGAGAGTGAGAGTGAGGCGGAGTGGACAACTACGTCATCAACACGGCGGCAAACAAGTGCTATCATTGATGCGCTCGGACGCTTCCCTCGAAATTTCCGTTATTCAAGAGAATCCAGACGTTATTATCGAAAATGGGTACCTATTGTAACTTACCGTTATTGTCGAAAGCGTTATTGTGGAAGTCGTTATTGGAGAGAGCCTATTGTACTAATGTTAAAGTATACAGTATTCCAAAGTAAATGCATGTCTCAATACACAGTATATCCTTTGTGATCTAATGTTTCACCCTGTGTGAAGACAGATACTTTTTTGAGATACAGTACTGTACCTCGATTACTACCTCCTTTAAATTTCATGGTCAAATGTTCATAATTTATGGGCGAGTGTCGGCTGCCACAGTGTTTGTTTACATAAGAAGCCATAAAAGTTGTGGAAATATTTCGGTGCTCTAATTTTATTTCAAAATAAGAAATCTAAATATCACTTCCACGTTCTTATGGGACTTAAAGAAAACGTATAAAAACATATACAAGATAAATGGAGTGGGAAGTGACTTGTTTGTGGACAGAGGTACCCCCTATTGACTGAGCGTTTGGCGCTCTTCTGACCTCGTTAATGCAACCTGCAATTTCACCATAATTCCCATATTATTTAGGTACATTTGGTACCGGAGTAATTCAACATCGTAAAGTAATAAAAAAAAAAAGCCCCAGACGAGTTATTGCGTGGTATAAATTTAGTTTCTTTGTAGACAGCGTGGTCACATCCTGCTTGTCTTGATGTATTGGCACAACACACGAAATAATAAGAAGGGAAGGAGCTGTTAATGTAAAATAGTACTACTTTTTGTACAATTATTTGTTACTGTATTTTTGGATGTATTACTGTACATACCATGTTTAGTGTTTATTAAAGCAAATTTGGAACAGTTTATGGGTATTTCTTGGCCTCTGGAACAAAATTAATGATTTCCATTTAAATCAATTATCACTATAATTTAGGATTTGATTATTCATGGTCTTCTGGTACCTAACCCACAAATTATCAAGACTCAGCCATAACTTACTCCCCAAACTCGCTTGACTACGAGTAGACTCCTCACCAGCAGTCACTCGGCCAGTTGCCCGTTTCTCCAATTTTTATAATTAGTTGGAAAGAAATTTAATCTGTACAGTAAAGATGTCAAGTTTTAAGATTGGAAATGGGAAGAATACAAAAGTTTGGAGATTTTTTGGTTTATATAATTTGTTACATCAAAAAGTTTTGTGGCATTTAAGGTGATTTTGAAAGTTTTTTGTAGAAAATTATCTTGGCTTTAATTATGGGAAAATGTGAAGAGATTTATGAAAAATTTTTCAGGAAGGGAATGGCTATACAGGTATATGTGTATACATAGTGTATGTACAGTCTCGTTCAAGATTCTTTGAACACTGCTGGCAATTTGAGGCCATTTGTTTACTATAGTATGCAGTAAAAATTAATAATGTTAAAGTGATCGGTGATAGGGTACTTAGTTCCCCGTTGCTTAATTAATGGTTGGGCTTTGTTGTTTCGTATTATATTATACTACGTATTATAGTAAACAAACGGCCTTGAGTTGCCAGCAGTGTTTGAAGAATCGTGAACGAGACTACAGTCAGGGTCAAAAGTCTTGAACACTTAGCAATATCTGGCATCTACTTCTGAGTTATACATATATGATTGGGATATACTAATAACACTACTTGTCACCACAAAATGGGATATAAAACTCCTTAATACCCAAGATCTTCGGGTACTTACATACCAAATATTGTCGAGTGTTCAAGACTTTAGACCCCGACTGTACATATACAGCTCCTCCCCGACTTACGACGGGGTTAGGAACCCAAATCCATGTTGTAAGTCGAAATGGTCATAAGTCGGAAATGCTTAAATAATACATAGAAAATCTAAAATGGGTGTCTCTTTTTCTTCTCAGCACCACAAAACACTCACTTTTAAGCTTGCCAGCCATGTTAAAGTGAATTAAAAAAATTTTTTTTGTCAGTGTACTGACTTTGGGACTCAAAAATACGTAATTTGACCAAATTTTGGTACGACTGAGGCAGGTCATAAGTCGGGGAGGAGCTCTATATATACATATACCCCCTAATATGTATGTACAGCTCCCCCAGAAAGTATCGTCAGCCATGGGGTCCATATGATTTGAGGCTTTCCGAGCTATGTTACTCAACCTGGTGACTGACACGGCGATGTCCATTTATGACATCCACTCGGTGATGTAATATATGATCTGAAGCCTCGGAGGATTCACATCATTCAGAAAGGTAGTCCAGTATTCTCATTCGTGCTCAAAGGTCGCGGATGTCGAACTTCCAACCGTGCAGAAATAGGTCTTGTAAAATTGCTTGGAAGCCTCGAATCGACTTACGATATTTTGGGGGGATATCATGTGTTGCAAATTTTTTTTTATCTTTAATCCTTTTTATTGTACTGTACAGTACATGTCTTGTAGAAGACTGGCCGCCAACCCTCGGATCGATTGATTGACTTGTCATGTACAGTACAAGGCAATGAGTGTGAGGCAGCTGACGAAGCATTAAACCAGGCAGGTATTGGAAGCATCATTCTGATGGCCCGTGTCATGACACACACTACATCAAGGACTTGGGGCTCACCACAGAACCAGTTAGTGTTTTTTTTGTTTTTTTTTACTTTTGTTGTGTATTTATAAATAAGAACTAAAATGTGAAACTTAATACAATTTATGAAATAACACCTGCAGCGAAAGCATCATTGATACAAGGTTGTATTTTTTGTTTTATGGGATTAGCCCACCTGGGCACAGGTCACTCACCCACATCAGGGCCAGGGGGGCAGAAATATCATTGTAATAATAATTAATAACAATAGATAAAATTTATAATAAAAAAATTAATTATAATATTAATTACCATAAATAGGTGCTCCTCTTCTTAAGCACGTTCAACTTACAAACTTTCAGATACAAACATCATCACTGAGGGGGTTACCTGCCAGAACAGGTGTTTAATGTGGATGAGACTGGATTATTTTGAAGAAAATTCCAGATAAAACAAACATTACCTAAGAGTAGAAGAGTGAGCCAGGTTTTAAGGCTATATTAAAGAGTATAACTGTACTAAATATCCATAATCTTTTCATTTTTTACAACATGTTTGGTATCTACAAGAGTAAAGTTGGACTTACAAACGAGCCTCAGTTACGTAACTCATTCGTAAGTAGAGGAGCACCTGTAAATACAAAAATTAAAAATAAATCGGAGTGAGAAACGATATACAGTATGTAGTGTTGTCAACACTGTAGCCATTTGGGAACCACTGCATTAAAAAACAATAAATATAACCTTCATATTGGTAGCTTCAGTTTGACAATTAACTTAAAAATTTAACACAGTACACTACTGTACTAGGTTTTCTGAATGTAGTGTAATGTACTTTAAACAACTGGAAAAAATTCCTAACTGGCAACTTTGCTGGGTATATCCCTCCCCATTTTGCCAAGGACTTAAAATCAACTGTTCCTCCTGAACATGTTAACATATATAAATAACTAATATTTACTTTCCAAAACTTTTCCACGCATTTGTTTTAGTTATGATAGAATGTATAACATGATATTGGAGCTTTGAAACAGGCACTGTTCATTTGCACCATACAGTATATTCCACCAATGAGGTGGGGGGAGGGATGGACCCAACAAAGTTGCTAATTAGGAATTTCAAGACTGCCTGTCTGTGTGGTCTTATAAGTGGGATGGACTGTAACCTAGGAAGTCTTGCAGGTTGCAAGAGATTGTAATAAAATCCATGAGACAGTCCACCACTGCACCTCCCACCTTGGGCATGAGAGGCTCTCTTGTTCATGACTATGCAGTACCCCCAAAGACAAACTTAAGATTTCATTTATTCACAGATTTAAGAGGATAGTAACACTAGAGGAACAAATATTTAATTTATTAATTATGTACAAAATAAGTGCTATGGAATTTAAACATGATTCAAAGGTACAGTACACAATTGATTATTGAAAGAAACATCTCTTCAATTTTGTTTGAGATAAAAAAAAGTTTTAAGTAACCATATTTTACACCACAAATTGACTTGAATTAAATACTTATTTACATGTTATGATCTATTCCTCACGACCACGGTATTCCTTAATGTGGGCAAGCACCCAAGCTGGAACAGCGCAACACCCAACCATGATGACTCCACCGTGAACCATTTTCTCCTGTTGGGAAGATACAAAAATTTTGTTTGCTTATTTACAGCTATGAATTCTATTCCCAAATAAATGTGGAATACTGTCCATGCACCAAATCTCTAGGCAAGAAAGCAATTTTTGGGTGTTTTTTACTAAAATCTGACCAACATTTTTGTGCAAATTACTTGTTTGTTAAAAATGAAGAATTTTGTTTTTTGCAAAAAACGCTAATTTGCACAAGAAATGAAGGTCAAATTTGAGTTAAAAAAGAAAAAAAAATACTGATTCTCATGTCAAAACCTGAGGACAGCCAATGGGCGAATATTTCCCATGAGTTTTCATCATCAGAACAGGCTAGGTTAGTTCACTTTATCTCAGATGAATGACAATGTAACAGTAGGTAAGTGTTCAGAAGTCAACAACAGATCAAGCAAAAATATTGTGTTAGACATATGAAGCAGCATCAAGGGGTCCCACTAATTACCCAAATGTAGCCGCAATGAAGTCAAATAATGGTCCTACATGAATCAATCGGGCTGTGAATCACTTCTTGATTATTATTTGGTGTCATAGTCACAAAAAATCGGTAAACTTAATTTAATCCGAGTTAACAGATCGAGTGCATGTACCTAACCTAACCCAACACAACTCAGATTAAATTAAGTTTACCAATTTTTTGTGACTATGACACCAAATAATAATCGAGAAGTGATTCACAGCCTGATTTACGCTTGTACGACCATCATTTGACTTCATTGCGGCTACATTTGGGTAATTAGTCGCTCCCTCGGTACATGCACGCGATCTATTAACTCAGATTAAAGTAAGTTTTCCAATTTTTTGTTTTACCTAAACAAAATATCTTGATATACAACAAAATGGGTTTATGAGTTGTAACTTGGTAAGAATTTTAATGAGTTGATACATTTTGTTTTGGATGTGATCAGCTGATGACGGAGGCCCGTCGGCCATGACCCAACTCTCACTCACCGCGAAGCTAACTTTGACTGTGGGAGGTCCAGAGATAACACTGGTCCTCTTGGCCATCACCATCGTTGTGTTGGCCCGAGCTACTTGGGTGACGGCGGTCCTGAGAGCGAACATGATGAAGATGTGTGGTGGTGTTGTGCTGGTCGGCCTCTTCTGTCTGGAGTGACGGTGTCTCACAGCAGTGTAGGTAATGTTAGAGACTACCACGAACACAACCAGGACAAGTTTATCTTCCAGTTGATATTAACTTACTTAATATGTATTAATATAACCATAAAAATACTACGAGATAATTCGATTAGTTTTAATTTTTAAGATATTTTAATGTTGCCTCCCTTTAAAAGAAAAATTACAGAGCTAAGAGTGCTATTCGTATTATTATTTTTAACATTAGTCATGTTATGTACTCCCCAACCTCTCCGATGGTTCCTTTAAAGTCATTTTATTTTACCAAGTGATCAAATTTTGTGATGTACTATTACTTAAAATTTAATTTTATTAAAATGACTTAAAATTACTAAATATCTTCTTTATGAGTATATAAGGAATCTATTTGATTTTACTGTACAGTACATGTTCGAATCCTTCAGTGTACTTTTGATGGAAATACAACATGATATATCTCAGTGTAAGTCAAATTTTAATAAAATTGTAATTAATTAATTACTTATGTCATTAAAGTAAGCATTAAAGATGTTTAAATTATCTTTGGTGTGATATTTTTGATAAAATAGATGACAAATGCGAGTAATTAAGAGGGCGCTCCTGAGTAGAGGATCCGGACACCTTATTGAATAGTTTTCAGGCAGATACTTAATGTTAGGAAAATACTACGGAAATAAACCGAAAACCATTTCATTGATATTTTTCGTAAGAAGTTGACAAAAAAATTATTATATATAACATATAAAACTACAATATCATTAATAGATTAAGTCAGGATAGGTTAGGTTGGGTTTGGATCGCCTGCTTTAAGAATTACGAAAAATAAATGGCGTCGCAGCTGTGTTCGTGTTATTCTGTGAACATTGGTCATCCTGCCAGTTCTCAGTGGTGTTGTTGTCGACGCAGGATATGTCAGGCGATTCCTCATTCATGAAGTGTTTTCGCACAGTTGGGTGAGTCTTTATTCACTTTTATCACCTGTTGCTGTATCTTTAGTATGCATAGATGATTTTAAGGTGGCTGGGAGGAGAGAAAGTGGCCAGAAATGTGGTAAACTAGCATATGTTTACATTGGGAATGTTTGAGGGGGCGTTCAACCTGATTTAGCAGTCCGCCATCAAAACTTATATTTATGCTGACTCTCCAGCTCTCCTGTGTCTGTTTCTTCGTTTAAACAGTGAAAATTGGTCTCGAGGAAGTTAGGTTCCATGGAAGCAAGAGGATATTTGGGTTGTATGTAGTTGTAGGCGTCGGTGACAACACTCAATATTAATGAACAACAAAGATGGGTGTGATGTAAACACAACCAAGTGACCAACACTGTGATGTATGGACGCTTACAACACAGTTAATGATGCCTCCCTACTGCATTACTCAACCAGGCAATTTGACACCCTAATTTTGTCCTGTAAATACAGCCAAATTGACTATTAAAGAAATATATCAATATCAACCAGCAGACCTGAGTTATGGTGCACAGTTAATGGTCAGTTCTCAACAATTAAACATCTTAAGAATTTGAAACCCTATTTCAACAGAGATAAATGCAATTATGTATTCTTGCATGTTATTGCTCTGGTAATTTTTAGAAGCTTGCAACACTGGAAATGTGTATAGCTGTGTGAAGTTTAGGTATTCTTGATTATACTATATCTGTGCTCATATGATCGGAAATATTACTTCATGTGTTCAACTTTTCAACCTTAATATGAGTGAACCTAATCACCACTTGCTAATGCAGAAGCAATTTTGCACAGCCTTAAATTATTTTCCTAATTACATTATATAATTACTGGACACTAGAAAAAATATCATCGAAAAAGTTATTCTATTTCTACTTAAGACTCATGTTAAATGTGCATGGGAGTAGCAGTGTGCTTCCATTAAACCATTTGAACACCTTTATGAATTCTGAGACTATAGTGTTAAATTATTTTTAAGGATGACACGAAGTTAACAAACTTAATCTAACTTAGTTAAGTTAGCTGCAGCTTAAAAAAAGCAAAAGATTCTTTGATTAGTTTGACTCTGGCAAATAATCTGTATTGACCATTCATGGAAATAACTTTCAAGAATATGTTTTTATAATTATTTTCATTTTGTTTTACACGAATATTACTTTTATTTTTGGCGGAAATGAGTCCTTTTTGATCTGATCCCCCCCGAGTTACCAACATTGTTGGGTCTAAAAACAAAAACGTGACTCTCAAATATCAGTATTGGTACATGTCTAACTTAACCTAACCAGAGAATCTAGAAGGACCTGACCTAACCTCCTATCCAGCCCCCAGGACCCCCCTCTGTTTCCCCCTTGGTGTGTAAACCTAACCTAACTTTACCAAAGGAAAACTTACCTTAATTAACAGATGGGTGGAGGATAAAGTGATCCCACTTGAAGGAGGAAGTGGTGAGCCTAGAACATGCTCCGGGTACTTAACAAAATATTGGTGGTAATACAGTACTCTTTCCTGTTGCCGGCACAAAACACACAACTTTTTATGTCCTTCCATAGATGTTCTATATTTTGTGCCAGCATTTGGAACCACAAAGTTCTCACTGTGGTTTACAGTTCTGTGGGTATCACCAATTTTGGCGAGGGTACTGTAAGCCCTCGAAAGGTCCGTATGAATAACACTATTCAGTGAATAACACGCCAGTCTTCCAACGTGCAACATTTACAGACAGAAGCCACCTTCCTACTAATTCAAATTAAACATGACATGGAGACTTGCGCTGATTGGCCGAGTAGAAATTAAGCGCATCGCAAGAGTATCACTCTACACGACACTTCCATTGGTTGTCTGAGTTACAAAAAAAAAAAAATATGGTACCAGCAAACTTGTACTGTACAGGTATACTTTCTTAAGTGAAAATAAAAAGGGAAAAGAATGCAAAACTAAAAATTTTCACTGGAAATGCTATATAGTAAATTTCATCATTCTTAGATATTTTTGCTCTATCTCTCTAGCTATATGAGAATCAGTATAAAGGCCCGTGAATGGTCACTACTGAATATTAACCTTGGTTCTTGTTCATCATCATCAACAATGTTTTATAGCCATTCTTCACATATGTGTGGGTTAGCTGTGATTTCTGATGGCTGCTCTCCATGTTGCACAGTCTCTTGCAGTCTCTCTTGTCAGGCTCTTTAACTCTCATGTTATTTCTTACAACCTCTCTCCATGTCATTCTTGGCCTACTCCTGGCTCTCCTCACCTCTACATTTAGGCTCATGCACCTCTTTCTTGACCCAGTTTGTCTCATCCATTCTCTCCACATGCCCAAACCATCTCATCCTGCCTCTACACAGAACTTCACCAATACAGTACTCTCAATACTCAGCCACCTCATGACTCTCAGTGTCACATTACACATACATTTCGCAATTATCACTTCAGCTCACTCAAGCCTGCTTATGTCATCCTCTTTAACTGCCCATGTTTCACTGCCATACATCACATCAGCTGCATACAATCTTTCTTTCACATGCAGGGTAGGTGGTAGGTCTTTTTGCTATCAACAAAGGCAGCAGCACCCTAAACTTCCTCTAGCTAGCACTGATCATGTCACCCAGGTTACAGAACTCATCGCAGTCCAGGGACATATCCCCAATGATGAATTTCTTCAGCTTTGCTATGGAGATAGTATTACTTGCACATACAGAACACTTAAAGTCAGCATCATCATGCAGTCTTCCATTTTCATTGTCATCTACTTCACTGCACTACTTGTTTACCCGCCTCCCACACTAAGTGCACATTATTGAGTAGCTGCCAACTCTACAGACAGCATATGGCCATTTTCCAATTTCCACGATGGGAAAATTAGTACAGTATGTGTTCAAAGATAAGCTGAATGTTGTTGAATTTTGCTAAAGTTTGTTAAGAAAGACAGGTTTATTCCTGCAACAGAGAAAGGTAGTTACTGTAAGTGTACTGATAGATAAGTTTTTTTTTTTAAAGAGGGAACATTCATTCAGGAAGAATGAATTTTCTTTTCTTAATTGTTTACACAATTTGTGACATGGCAACCCTGAAATAAAAAGGATTCATTTAGTTCTGTGCTGGTATGGTCAACACACATCACTCCACAGCATGGTAACATCCCACTTACTTTGCCTGAACCATTGTTTTATGGATTTGGAGTCCAGAGATTATTATTATTGTTATATATAATTTTTTATATATTTTTTTTTGCAAATTAAGAGTTGCTTTCTCAGAAAAATACTATGATATCATGAAGGGTGGCTTATTTTTAGTGTCTTGGGGTTGAATGAGACTTATGTTTGTAAATACTGTACTGTACAGTTTGCAGTTCAAGTGTAATGTGCTTCTGTATTATGTTTTGTCTTAAGGTTTGGAAGTTTCAACTGTGCAGTATTGTATATTTATGAAGGCATAGTACTGTACTGTATAGTATAGCTAATGTTTATTGTTCCACAGATGTTTGACATAAGCTTTGGAGTTGATAAATGTTTTACCTTACTATGAGATGTAATTACACACCAAAATTTAGAATTGTTGCAGTATGTCTTTGCCTGGGGTGCTTAGCTTAGTGTAAACTTCTGTATGCCGCCAGTAGTTTTACAGCAGTAGAAGAGTGTTACACATATTTATGATGAGGGAATCCAAAGGAGGGCACATCTTTTCACCAATTAAAGAGAATAAACAGGGTATCCATATTTTATCTGACCCAGTTTAAAGTGTAATAACCTCAAAATTATTAAAGATACAATCCACAGGTTTTATCATACTTGACATAAAACACGGAAAAACTTATGAGCTGTTGATCTAGTACAGGGGGTATAATAAAACTACAGAAGTGTGTATTATCAGGAATATTTTTTTTGGCTGCAAAATTAAGTTTTAAAATAGGTCAGATATTTATGGACACTGAACAGTATTACAACAAATAGTAGGATATCCTGTTTTGCTCTTGATTCCAGCCACCTGTATTGTATTGTAGTAGGAAATGGCTTGTTAGGGTCATTATAGTATTATCCAAGCATTATCTGCACCATGTGTGAGTGTTTAGGATGAACCTGCTAGAACCAACAGCAGCTCTTAGTTGATCAGATCATCACCATGAAAGCTTGCTGTCGATGTCTCCAGAACTGATACAAGTACGGTACTGTATTGTACTGTAGGGTCTTTTTGTATGC